CCTCAGGTGACTCTCATGCCTCACCCTCCCAAAGTGCTGGAATTACAGGTGTGTGCCACCACAGCTGACTAAGTTTTGTATTTTTAAGTACAGACAGGGTTCCACCATGTTGACCAGGCTGGTCTCAAACTTCTGACCTCAGGTGATCCTTCCGTCTTGGCCTCCCAAAGTGCTGGGATTATAGGTGTGAGTTACCACCCCTGAAATGGCCTGTGGCCATCTCTTGCTGCTACTGTGGTAAGCTCAAGTGTTGCCAGTACTTCTTCAAGTGCTGTGTGATGCTAATCATCCCTGAGTGAGCAATTCATCTCTCCGGTTAATTGGATACCAGAGTAAAATGTGGTATCTCCTGGTTCTCATGAAAAAAACATTTTTCATCATGGTTAGTGTAATACAGCAAACCTTGAATAACATTATGAAACCCACATAAAGTGACACCAGTGATGCTGGAAGTGTTCTCAAGAAGCAGAGAAAAAAGTTGAATTTCCTGGTATGTACCATAGATTGAGGTCTGCAGCTGCGGTTGCCCAGCATGTTAAGATGAATGAATTCAGCATAAAGACCACTGTAGAAAAAAAAGAAAAGAAAATTCATGCAGCTGTAGCTGCTGCTGTGCCAGCAGGTATGAAAACCTTGCGCTTTGGGTTAAATGCCTTTTTAGCTCATATCGAAAATGCACCCGTTAGGCAGGTGCATTGCCATGAAGATTGCTGTAAGAAAGACATACCCATAGACTCTCATATGAGTCATGAAAAAACGAAGTCATTATATGACAACTTAAAGCAAAAGAAAGGGGAAGGATCTAAAGCGGAAGGATTTAATGTCAGCAAAGACGGTTTGATAATTTCAGAGAGAGATTTGGCTTAAAAAATGTCAAGATAACAGGAGGAGCTTCTGTCGACCAAGAGGCAGCAGACAAGTTATCAGATACCATTAACAAAATCATGGAGGAGAAAGTGTATCTGCCTGAACAGATTTTTAATTTGGATGAAAGTACCCTATTCTGGGGAGCGGAGGGGAAAGTCACAAAGAACATTGATTAGTAAGGAAAAGAAGCGAGCATCAGGATTTAAGGCAGGAAAGGCGAGGCTAACTCTACTGTTTTGTGCCAATGCAGTCAGGCCTATCATCAGGGCTGCCCTTACCTATAAAGCTGCTAACCTCCAAGCCTTGGAGGGAAATGTTAAACACCAGCTGCCAGTATTTGGTCGTACAACAAGAAGGCTTGGACAATGAGAACTCTTTTTCTGGATTAGTTCCATTGATGCTTTGTCCATGAAGTCAGGAAGTATCTTGCCTCTAAGGGACTGCCTTTCAAAGTTCTTTTGATATTGGAGAATGCCCCTTGGTTATCTAGAACCCCATGAGTTCAGCACTGAAGGCTTCAAAGTGATCTACTTGCCCCCAAACACACCTCTAATCCAGCCTCTAGATCAGAGGGTCATAAGGACTTTAATGCCCATTATATACAGTACTCTTGGGAAAAGATTGTCAAGGCTGTTAAAAGAGAACCCTGATAGAAGATCAAGAAAGTCTGGAAGGATTACACCATCGAAGATGCTATCGTTGTTACAGGAAAAGCTGTGAAAGCCATCAAGCCCAAAATAACAAGTTCCTGCAGGAGAAAAATGTGTCCAGATATTGTACCTAATTTCACAGGATTTACAACAGAGCCAATCACAAAAACCATGAAAGAGATTGAGCATGGCCGGGCGCGGTGGCTCAAGCCTGTAATCCCAGCACTTTGGGAGGCCGAGGCAGGTGGATCACGAGGTCAAGAGATCGAGACCATCCTGGTCAACATGGTGAAACCCCGTCTCTACTAAAAATACTAAAAATTAGCTGGGCATGGTGGCGTGTGCCTGTAATCCCAGCTACTCAGGAGGCTGAGGCAGGAGAATTGCCTGAACCCAGGAGGCGGAGGTTGCGGTGAGCCGAGATCGCACCACTGCACTCCAGCCTGGGTAACAAGAGCGAAACTCTGTCTCAAAAAAAAAAAAAAAAAAAAAAAAAAAAAAAAAAAAAAGAGATTGAGCATATGGCAAAAAGGTGGGTGAGGGGCATGTGTGAAGGGTCTCAAGATGTGGATCTTGGAAAAATCAAGGGCTAATAGATGTCACTCCAGAAGGATTAACGGAAAAATGATGATGTGATGGGGATGAGTGCTACTGAGCCAGCACCAGGCAATGAGGAAGAAGATGTAAAAGAGGCAGTGTCGGCCAGGCGCGGTGGCTCATGCCTGTAATCCTAGCACTTTCGGAGGCCGAGGTGGGTGGATCACCTGAGTTCAGGAGTTCAAGACCAGCCTGGCCATCATGGTGAAACCCCATCTTGTTGAAAAGAAAGAAAGAAGAGGCAGTGTCAGAAAACAAACTGATGTTGTAGACAATCTGGCGAAGGGTTTTGGTTATTCAAGGTTACTCTTGACTTCTTTTATGACATGGACCCTTCTATGACATGCGCACTGAAGCTAAAGCAAATAGTGAAAGAAGTCTTTGTGTCATACAGAAACATTTTTAGAGAAATGAGAAGGCAAAAGGTCAGACAGAAGTTACGATGCATTTCTCTAAAGTTACACTGAGTGTACCTGCCTCTCCTGCCTCCCGTTCCACCTCCTCCACCCCTTCTGCTTCTGTTACCCTTGAGACAGCAAGACCAACTCTCCTTTTCCTCCTTCCCCTCAACCTCCTCAACGTGAAGACAATGAGGATGAAGACCTTTATGATGATCCACCTCCACTTAATGAATAGTAAATATATTTTCTCTTCCATTTGATCACCTCCTAAAGGCCCCATCACTCAATACTATTGTACTGGAGATTGTCTCAATAGGAATTTTGGAGGAACACAAACATTCAAACCATAGCATGACTACTCAGCTGTTATTTTCCTCTGTACCACTTTCTAAGGTTCTCCTAAACTGACCCACACGGTTTTAAATAGTCCTTCTGTGAAAAAGCTCTCCTTAAATTATACTAATTTGAGTGTGACATATTTGGTCCCTAACTGATATCTTAAGTCATCTTTTTATATCATGTACCTGACAGAGCCATAGTAGATGAACAGTAACCATTTATGAAATAAATGACCTCTGAAACTCCTTCCACCACTCACTGTCCGTATGATTCTGTTACCCTACAAGCCAACTATACATTGTAACTTGGGGAGAATCTCAAAGTCATTGGGACACACTCTTACATGACCATACACGAACCCCTAGTGTGGTGCCAAGGGGTGGCTCTGGCAAGTAAACTTCAGTGCACTAAAATTTCAGCACCTCCACCATTAAAGCCCATGCAAATTAACATATATTCTGAAGTGAAACCATGTGCTTACTGTTCAAATGCAGCTTCCACGCCTAACCCGCTCTTCCTGACTAGGCCACCTTCCCAAGCCCTCTAACTGGGAATCTGCAGCTCCTTCTGCACCTACTGACACACACATTCCCCATCTTGCTGAATGGAGTATTTGTCTCTTCCTCAAAGGGTGGGCTTAGGTGTTAGGAGATTCCGAGGAGAGCAGGGACTGCAAGAAAAATCCACTGAGAAGCAAATCTGTTCCTCCAATCTGCTTTTGACTTTCTCATGTGGATGACTTAACAGTGAGATTCCAGCCCAGAGCTGAGCTCTAGGAAGGACTGCATGGAAGCCATGGGCTTTCTTACCCATGCTCAGTGGTCGACTGGCACATGAACTGACTCTGGCAATGGACCTGGACATTTGGTGGACTGAAAGGCACAGAGTGCTCAGTACACCAAAACTGTGACCACCCAGCCTTGATATTCCTGGGGTTTTCAGAGGGAAAGCTATTTTATTGCTATCCAACAGTGAGTGAAGAACTCCAGATTACAATTTCCATATGTCACACAGCAGATGACAGTGAATGATTAGGAAAAATAATATGGTACTGTGAAAAAGGCAGGAATCATCTCCAAATTAGTTTGTCTTCCACTGGCTTTGCCTTTTTCAAATCCATTCACTACGCTGCTGCCAGAATATATTCTTAAACACGAATCGCAAATTTGCCCTTCTCTTCCTGTGCAATGACATCTTTTCTACCTATAGGGTGAAATTCCATCCTCTTGGTCTTTGAATATATAGTTCTTGCCTAGATTTATAGTCTCATAGTCACAGTTTCAATTTACCCACCTCTTCTATCATCCTTATCTTTTCTGAGCGCGCGCACGCACGCGCACACACACACACACACTCCAGCAATAGTGAACTGACAATAGCTTTCCCATACATCTTGCATACATCCTGTCCTCTCTACCTGGAAAGTATTTCTCTTATTTCTGCCCACTTATTTGCCTTATAAATCATACTTCTCATACTTTATCTTCAGAACTGGGGTAGACATTAGATCCTCTATGACAGTGCTTCGTAATGTATATACAATTACCTGCAGATCTTGTTAAAATGAAGATTCTTGCTCAGTAGGTGAGGAAGAAGCCTGAGAATCTGCATTTCTCACAACATGGTGATGTTATTGCTGCTGGTCCAGGGACCGCACTTTGAGTAGCAGGGCTCTAAGAGGTTTTCCTTGATGTCATCCTTTCCCTGTTAGATTCCATCACTTTTTCTGAGCTCTTCTCTTCTTTGACCACAGTTTTTTGTCATTGCCCTAATTGTTGTATTATAATTTTATTTATGTTTTCCTTTTCAATCAGACTAGGAGACTTTTTTTTTTAATATAAGTAAAGACTATGCCTTTTCCATCTTTGTCTGCATGAGGATACATACACTGAGCTCTGTGCATGACCCATAGGAACATTGATATTTACTTATTGAATGAATGTTGTTCAATGATATGTAGTCTTAACAACTGACTGTGGAAAATGAAACCATGTAACCATTCTTACCTAAGGAAAAGTCCTGAGAGTTTGCCAATTGAATAAATACAGAACCCAGGCCCTATGCACCATATTTATTAAAACACAGCTTTAACTGCTATACTCAGCTTTTAACTCTGTGTGCCCCACGAAGGATAACAAATATTTGTAAGATTTTTATTTTGAACACTAGCAGTGACTGTACATTAATAAATATGCATCTGATGCAAATATAAATACATAGTCAAAAGGTACAAAATGCAAAGTCTACAAAATGAAACTAGAACCAACACCCTGTATAAGGGAGTTCTCTACAAACACAGGGCACCATTTACAAAATGTGAGAGAAAAACCAGACAGGAAGCCCATTTTGTGGGATAGGCACTGGGAGGTGAAATATCTACACATTTCAGTTAAGGCTTTGATGAATCTGAGCTTGAAAAAGATAATACCATGCACAGGGGAATTTTCTAAGCCAAACCACAGAGATCGGTCAATTCCAATGTTTTCCTTCTAGACTGAATGTTCCAGAAATCATCTCTAATTAAGGGTTCCCAAAGATAATGTACAAAATTCTAAAAAGTAAACAGAGATAATTTTGGATAAGCAGAGTAAAATCATCTTCTGAATGACAGGGTTTTATCTTGAGGCTCTCTACTTCACAATAATTATAATTAAAGTTATGCATCCGAATCTCAAGCCAGTCAACATGTCACATGATTTAGAAAGAGCCAACTGCAACACCATCCTCTCATATATCAGGGAATATGCCTCCCCATGAAGTGTTCCAGAAGACTACAGCTCAAAGTTGGAATGATAATTAAAGGAAGAACTCATACTTCTACAGAAGAACCTTTTAAAGTTGCTTTGAAGCTCGTCTATAAATGGCTTCAAGCAGCCTGATGGGTTGGTTGTGAGAATTAAAGAGTTCATTAACTGAATAACTCCAAAGTCATTAACATGACCAAGATAAGGATATAAAGTAGGAAAAGGAGTGCCAGGGCAACACTCTTCGCTAGTGGTTCTATAGACTTCTTTACTGTCTTTCCATCTTTCCTCTCTGCTGTATTTATCCCCCCCTGCAATCCCTTTCATTTTCAGTAGGAGGCAGTGTTGAATAGGAATAAAGAATCTGTGTATTGGAGTCAGACAGATTTGGGCTAGAATCCCAGCTCTAGACTTTGTAGTTCCGTCACTTTGGGCAGATGTCTTGGCTTCTTAAAGCCTCAGTGACATTATTTGTAAAATGGGAATAATAATACTGCCTCATGGGGATGTGAACTCAGAGTGAACAGAGATTTTGCAGTAAAGACTCCTAGCTCAGTACATATTCACCTTGCATATAGAAGTGCTCAAGCCAGAGTAGGCATTCTCCTGCATCTTGGAAGTGCCAGTCAGTGCCTGACTGTTTCCATCTTGACGGTCTGAGCAAGAGCAGACTCTTTATTTCTCTCCTAGAATTTGGAGAGACTTGGAGTCTCAACCTTAAAATTGCTCAACCCTAAACAAGTTTCAATTGCTCACCAGGCCAACAACTAATCAACACAATGCTGCCCTCTGTTGATCAGGATTAGATAGTGCAGAGAGGGGGCTGATTCCCAGAGGCTGGAAAGGATGACCCCAAGAGTCAGTATTTACGAGTAATCGTTCTCAAGATGCTGGCGGAAGCATTCTGTGCAGAAGAGGAGACATAGTCACCTGCATAGCTTGGTATGAAGGATGAGCATGGGAATGATAAAACCTAAGGCCTCTCTTGTACCACGTAGTCATTGTCCTGGCACAGACATCAGATACCCAATGCTCCAAGCACGGGACCCGAACTGTTCACCCCAATCCATCCAGTGGGTCTCACCAAACTCCCTTCAAGGAGAGAGGCAGCAACGTACTCTGTAAAACCTCATAGAGCTGCTTCTCAGAGTATCCGGCCTCCTGTTGGAGCAGCTGCTCCACCATTCTCTGTGGCAGGAAGCTGCGGCTGACAGCATCGTAGCAACAGAGCACACTCTTTCTAACTTTGGTTAACTCACCAGTTTTCTTAGAAAAAGAGTCATGCTCTTTGCTCCCTTGCCCCCGTATCCTGGGATACTGTGTTGTTGGGTCAAATAAAAAGTCCCTTAAACCATAAACTTTAGATTCATGTTTAAAATAACAAAAATAGCAATCTGGGTCTTACTCATGTCTGTCTCTATTACTAAGAAGTGCAAGAAATGCTGCCTGAAAGCTGTCAGGTGGAGGTTTGTGTACCACATGTGACAAGAGGCTAGCGAGAGGGCAGAGACATCACTTCTGTTCTGGCCCAGCTCCCAGCTTGGTGGCTGACCCTCCAGCTGTGGCTTGACTGCCAGCCGTGGTCAGGATGCTACTTCTGTGGTAACTCAGGGACTGGCGCCACAGGCCAGGCTGCCTCTGTAGGGTCCTGGGCTGGTGGCGGCTTCTAATGCTCTATGGGAGGAGGACATACCCTTCCTCCATCAGGAACTGCAGCCCGTGGCCTGCTACTCAGTCTCTACTAAAGTCCCAGTTCTGCAATTTCAGCCAGTTGACGCAGCAGTCTGGAGAAAGCTGGCCGATCCTCTGGTCTCTGGAAAGGGAAAAAAGAACTCTATAAGTTCCTTGCATCTGTGTGTCAAAGGTAAGTCTAAAACAAACCAGAATTTAATAGCAGCATCCCTTGCAGATTTTTATATGCACTTCCACATTGACTGTATTCCATATACATTGCCCTAGTTGTTAATAGCAGGTATTCTGGAATCCAGTGGAGTAGTGTTCAGTCTCAGTTTTACCACTAATTAGCTGTGTGACATTGAGCAGGTTACTTAACCTCTGTGAACCTCAGTTTTGTCATTTGCAAAATGGGGACAATAATAGTATCTACTTCATTAAATTGTTTTGAGAATTAAATAAATCACATATAAAAATAAACCATGAAATTATTGCTAAAGAACACCAAAAAATGAAATATCTGTGTACAAGACTCAGAAAATATCTACAGGATCTGTATGAGAAAAAAATAAAAGTTCTAACGAAAGAAAGCGAAGATCTAAATAAATGGAGAGACATTCCATGCTCAGGGACAGAAAGGCACTACAGTGTTAAAATGTTAGTTCTTTCCAACTTGATCTACAGATTAAATACAACTCTAATAAAAATCTCAGCACGTTATTTTGTAGACATTGACAAACTGACTCTAACATTTATGTGGAGAAGCAAAAGACCCAGAGACACAATATCATAATGAAGAAGAACAAAGCTGGAAGATTGACCCTACCTGACTTCAGGACTTACTCTAAAGATACAGTAATAATGACACATGGTGCTGGTGAAAGAATCAACAAAAAGATTAATGAACCAGCCCAGATATAGATCCAAATAAATATAGTAAACTGATCTTTGACAAAGGAGCAGAGGAGAAAGAGTATAATCTGTTCAACAAACAGTGCTGTAATAATTAGACATCCATACAGAAAACAGTGACTCTAGTCACAAACCTTACTCCTTTCAGGAAAATTAACTCAAAGTGGATCAAAGTCCTAACTGTAACATGCAAAATTATAAAAACTTCCATAAGATAACATAGGAGGATATCTGGGTGACATTGGGCTTGGGGATGAGTTTTTAGATATAATACCAAAAGCATAATTCATGAATAATTAAGTTGATGATGAGCTTTGTTAAAATATTTTAAAAGTCTGCTCTGTGAAAGACACTGTCAAGGGAATGAGAAGAAAAGTCACAGAACAGGAGAAAATATTTGCAAGATACATATCTGATAAAGCACTTGTATCCAAAATACGCAAAGAACTCTTAAAACTCAACAGTAAGAAAGTAAACAACCTGATTGAAAAATGGGCAAAAGATCTGAATAGATATCACCAAGAAGATATACAGGTGTCAAATAAACATATGAAAATGTTCTTAACATTATATGTCACTAGGAAAATGCAAATTAAAACAATGATGTAATATAACTACACATCTATTAGAACCACTGAAATCCAAAACCACAAATGCTAATGAGGAACTCTCGTTGCTGGGCTAATGTAAAATAGTACAGCTACTTTGGAAGACATTCTGGCAGTTTCTTAAAAAGCTAAACATAGCCTTACCATATGATTCAGCAAGCATACTCTTAGGCACTTACCCAATCGAGTTGAAAATTTATGTGCATACAAAAACCTGCACATAAACATTTATAGCAGCTTTATTCATAATCACTTAAAACTGAAAGCAAGCAAGATTTCCTTTAGTAGGTAAATAAACAAACAGTGGTATATCCATACAATGGAATATTATTTAGCAATAAAAAGAAATGAGCTATCAAGCCAAAAAGCCATGGAGTGACCTTAAAGGCATATTACTAAGTGAAAGAAACCAGTCTGCCTGGATGCTCACACCTGTAATCCCAGCACTGCAGGAGGCCTGAGGTGGGTGGACTGCCTGAGCTCATCTGGGCAGCATGGCAAAACCTTGTCTCTACAAAAAATGCAAAAAAATTAGCTGGGCATAGCGGCTCATGCCTGTGGTCCCAGCTACTTGGGAGGTGAGGTGGGAGATTCACTTGAGACTGGGAGACAGAGGTTACAGTGAGCTGAGATCATGCCACTGCACTCCAGCCTGGGTAACGGACATCCCATCTCAAAACAAAACAAAACAAAACAAAACAAAAACTCAAACAAACAAAAAAACCTGAAAGCAACCAAGATTTCCTTTAGTAGGTAAATAGATATGCAAACTGTGGTATATCCGTACAATGGAATATTATTTGTCAACAAAAAGAAATGAGCTATCAAGCCATGAAAAGACATGGAGGGACCTTAAAGGCATACTACTAAGAGAAAGAAATCAGTCTGAAAAGCACACATGCTGTATGATGCCAATATATGACATTATGGGAAAGGCAATACTATGGAAACAGTACAGAGATGAGCAGTTGCCAGTGGTTTGGGGATGAGGAGAGGGATAAATGGGGGAAGCACAGGAAATTTTTACGGCAGTGAAACTATTCTGTCTGCTATTATAATGGCAGATACATGGCACTATTCATTTATCAAAACCTACAGAAATCTAGAGCACGAAGACTGAACCTTCGTGTAAACTATGAACTTTAGTTAATATAACGGATCAATAAAGGTTCATGAATTCTAACAAATTATCACACTCTTGCCAAATGTCAGTGAACAGAGAAACTGTTCAGGTGAGGAGGGTATTTGAGAACTCTGTACTCTTTGTTAAAAAATAAAGTCTATAAATTTAAAAACTCAACAAAAGATGTTTAAAAAAGGAAAAAGTGCTAACTGAACATCAGCTGTCATTATTATTGTAGTCAATCCTTATGAAGTGGATAAGATTTGTTTCATGCCCTTGTTTATGACTTTATTGTTTCTTTGTTTCTCATTATAAAGGCTCTATGAACTCATACATCAAGCATTATTTAATTCTCTTAACAGTAAGAAAAAGGAAGTTCAGAGAATTGTCAAAGATAAATGGCAAATAAATGGTAAAGCTGAGACAAAATCCTAGTGTTCTAAATTGTTTGTATTCCACTTTGTTGTCCTACAATGATATGAATTTTTATTAATTCTCTATTTCAGCAACTTACCACTTTGGCCGAAATGTACGATTTTCTAACTCACCAAAGACCATCTAAGACTCATGTTGATGGGGCTCAACCCATGGCCGGCAATCCAAGGAGGGGATAAATGAGCCAGCCAGGTGGGCACAAAGTAAGTGGCTCCCCATTTTAAATTGCTGAATGAATAAAATGAATTCAAATTAAGCGATTTTAGTATTTTCACAGTGTGAGTGAACTTTGTTCCCCAAATTATAGAACTAACTTCATGTACTTTTAATGGTTTTATGATATCACAGATTTTATTTCTTTTCTCAGAAAATCGAGAAGGAAGTTGGCATAGGCCACATCCCGTCCTCCTCTCTGAAGTTATGCTTATGGCTTGTGACATTATATAGTAAACAAAATAATATTTAAGGTCACCGTCAGCTCCATTAGTGATGGGGATCTATCCCGTTAAAAGACCCTCGAAGTCATGTTGTTGTTAATCTCCATGAGTCATCCCTCTTGCCTTATCCTTCAGAGAGGGTTACTTTCTCTAGGGAAGGAGGCAGGACCTGAAATTGTATATGACAATGCAGCGGGAAGCACTTCCTCCACTGACCTCTTTCCAGCAGTGATTCATAATCTGGTAGACATGTGAGGAGGCTAGCCGGGGCTTGTACAACCGAAATCCGGTACTGATGTCTTCTACCACCTCTGAGTTGCTTCGGTTTTCATATGGGATTTTGCCTTCACTGAAAACTTCCCACATCAGCACACCTACGAGAAATGGTGAGCACAGCACAGTGAATGACAAAGCCCACAGACAGCAAACCAACCAACCTGCCTCTAGAAATGTCAGACTCCTTGGCATTAGGATTCACGTGCTACCTCCAGAAGTACATCAAGTCTCCCTGAGGTTTATTAGGCCTGTCCTATTTTAAAGAACTGAAATTTTCCAACCTTTCTAGTGGAGAAGGATTTTCAAGATGGACCCTTTGTTATATCAAACTCAAATGCTGCCACTAACAGTTGTAGACTCAAATGCCAACGTGCAATAGGCAAATGAATGGAGTGCAGGAAGTGTGATAGGGGAGAATTGTGGCAAATGAGATAAAGAGCTCCGTCTTAAGGAAACAGCTATGATTTGACTCCAGCCAAAGTATGGCACATGAAAATGAGGGATCAGAATTGTAACACTTTCTGATTTTTAAAAAGGAAGTCAAAAATTAAGAGGTGAACTTCTTGAATTTTAAAAATACCATGTAGACCAAGCAGAATACATCTTTGGCTCGTCTCTTTTTGACCTCTGATTTAATCCTTTTCCTTTCTTCTTCTGCCCTTAGTACAATTGTCAGCTTTGTCCTTATTATATGCTGATATAGTCACAGGATGTCAGACCAGGAAGACTGCTTGTAAATCACCTAATCCAGTGCTTTGCAAGGTTTGTTCCAGAGAATCTTAGAGTAGACATTCCCAAAGCACGATCCCCAAAACACCGAATAAAAATCATCTCAGAGGCTTGTTCAAGTGGCAGGTTCCTGCGCCCCAGGCCAGACCCAGTGGAACAGAATCTCTAGGGGTTACTCAGAGGTGCCTCAGGAGTTGGAAATCCACAACCTGACCTTAGATAAGAGTGTTTATCAACCCAAGATACCAGAATTTTTAGTGAAAATTGTTTTGAATGTGTGCTGCTGCTAAAACATGGTTTCAGAACGATTGCCTTACTACATAGATGCATAGATGAGAAGTGAATAGATGAAAATATTGATGAAGTGCAAAGAGGTTGACTTGTTCAGAATAGCACACCGCTAATTAGGGCAAAAACCTTAAAACATACAACAAAGTCCAGTGGGCTGATGCAGGCATGGAGCTCTTAGCCCATCCAGGCTTCTGCTGCTTAGGCTGGCACCCCCAGTTTTCTCATACTTTTTTTTCATTGATCCCTTTCTATTCTGCATCCATCCATCAACCTCATTTCTGGGCTCTCTTCAAGTAATATGTCATAGGCAGGGATGAATTTCAATAAGATACAGCAGGAAATTCCCAGGCTGACACCCTTTGGCTGAATAAACCCCATTCAGAATCAGAAGGTGAATGTGCTGAAGTGGTCATTGCTCCAGATGTCTCATTCTGGGGCCCTTGCTTGGTGCAGTGTGATCAGTTTCACCACCCATAGTGAGATGACTACAATCAGCCCCAACCTTCCTAGTTATACACACTGGGGAGAGGAGAGTCATCCAAGAATGCTGTCAGCACAATTTATTTCAAGTCCACTCTGTAACCTAAGCCTCGTTAACAAAGTGTGGTGGATAGCGGACTGTTTTAAGTGGATAGCGGACTGTTTTAAGTAATAGGTAGGATTCATAATTAACAAACCACTTGGCTCCTAGAGATGGATAGTGTAAAACGCTGGAGAAGATTTTTAAGACTCACTCTTCTCCTAAGAGATTTACCTAGCAAACCTTCCCCTGGTTTTGACTACTAGTAAGCCCTTATCAAACCCTTCCTTCATACTGAATGGCAAAAATCAATTTTCAACCAGCTCTTGTCCATGGTATAATTCTTCTTGTAATCCAAATCAAAAAGGTTGTCTGGTATATTTTTTTGTACACTTTAGTATGCACAAACTATGACTTCAGGTGACATGACAAGTCCAGCAAGAACACTTGGTACATCCTGCCATACCAACATCATTCATTCATTCATTCATTCACTCCTTATGATGGCCTGCCGGCTTCACTGCCTGTTGTTCTCCCACTAAGTTAGTACCCCCTATTCTTTGAGTGCACCAAGTTTTTGCTCTCCAAATGGTGACAGCTCCCTCCTATCATATGTCTCTGCTCACATATTACCTTCTTAGAAAGACCTTCCCATATCACACTATTCAAAGCAGACCCTCTCTCCATTCTAGTCACTCTGTCCCATTACTGTTTTATTTTATTCATAGCACCTACTCATGATTGCCTGGCCTTATCTTCTATACCTTAGCTTGTTTGTGATTATTATTGTTTATGATTGTTATTATGATCTTTTGTGATTTTCTGTCTCCTCTCCCATCTCAAATTTAGTTCCAAAAGAATAGAAGTCTTGCCGGGCATGGTGGCTCACGCCTGTAATCCTAGCACTTTGGGAGGCCAAGGCAGGAGGATCAAGAGGTCAATAGATCGAGACCATCCTGGCCAACATGGTAAAACCCCATCTCTAGCAAAAATACAAAAAAATTAGCTGGGTGTGCTAGTGCACACCTGTAGTTCCAGCTACTTGGGACGCTGAGGTAGGAGAATCGCTTGAACCTGGGAGGTTGCAGTGAGCTGAGATTGCACCACTGCACTCTAGCCTGGCAACAGTGCAAGCCTGTGTCCTGAAAAAAAAAAAGAACAGAAGTCTTTTCTGTCGTATGAACCATTGCATCCTTGGCACCTAGATTAGCCCTTGGCATTGAATAGATGCTCAGTTAATTGTTGTTGAATGAATGAGTAAAATATTAATACTTATTGAGATAAGTATGGAAATGTAATGTTTGACAAAACATGGTCCCTGCCTTCAAGGGCCTCCTATTTGAATTTCCTGACTTCAGCTTTTGACTTTACAGCAGCTGGCACCAGAATGCTGTTTCCACTTTTATTTTAACCCCCACCACCATGTCCAATATCTCTAAAAACAAATGCAATAATGAGGGCTCCTTCACTGTTTTCAGGGCCTTTCTTACACAACCCTCCAGTGGGACACCCTCACGACACAATACAGGGTTCAGGGTGGGTAGGATTGTCAGCATTTGATAAAGGCAACATCTGGTCTGCAGCCCAGATCGCGGGGCGGCGGGGCCCAGCATGACACTCACCAAATGACCACACATCCGACTTGCTGCTATAGCGACTGAAAGAGAAAACTTCTGGGGATGCCCACTTCACTGGGAATTTGGTGCCTGTGGAACTGGTGTACTGATCATCAAGAACGAACCTGGGAGAGAGTGAAGGGAGAAGGTCAGAATGTTCCGGGGCCTGAGTCCCATTCCTGAGACTTCACTGGCACCACATTCCTCTTTTACCTTGTCATCCCAAAGTCGGACACCTTGATGACTTGGTTTTCTCCCACCAAACAATTTCGGGCAGCCTGGAGAGGAGACAGAAAAACAGCAAGGGAGGGAAAACTGTTGACGGGTCATCAGTAGTTAAGGAGTCTCCCCTAATCACAGTCCTTTGCTTTACTGTGTGCTGTCCTACAAGGGCATCACCAAGCTTTACAAACGTTAATTAAGCTTCACAAATGCCTGCTGGAAGTTAACTGGAAAGCTGAATGTGTAAGATTCACGATCAAGATGAGCGAGTTTATCTTCATTCTTGAGTTCTAATTAGAAGAGAAATCCATGGTGATGTCTAGCCAGAGATAGGCTCTGACGCAACCTGATGTGATAGGAAATGTTAACATCAGGGATAATAGGAAGAAAGTGTCTCCCAGTTGACTAAAGAAAGAATAGTTTGACATTGTTAATCCTCTTAAAACCATTCTTCCAAAGGGAGAGTACCTGACCCCTAATTAGTATTATAGAATGTTGCATTGAAAGAGCCCTTAGAGATAATACCACAGTGTATCTCAAATTATTTTTCTTCCTTTCTTTTTTTTTTTTTTTTGACAGAATCTTACTCTGTCGCCCAGGCTGGAATGTAGTGGCATGATCTCAGCTCACTGCAATCTCTGCCTCCCGGATTCAAGCGATTCTCCTGCCTCAGCCTCACGAGTAGCTGGGGTTACAAGTGCCCACCACCAGGCTCAACTAATTTTTTGTATTTTTAGCAGAGACAGGGTTTCACCCTGTTGGCCAGGCTGGTCTCGAACTCCTGACCTCGTGATTCACCCGGCTCCACCCCTAAAGTGTTGGGATTACAGGTGTGAGCCATCACGCCCGGCCGTGTGTCTCAAATTTTAATGTGCAGATGAATTATATGGGGAATGTGTTCAAATGAATATTCCTGAGTCCCAGCCACCAGAGATTGTGAGAGTTGCTTAAGAGTTTCCCCAGTGTGATTCTGGTAGAATAACACCTTCAGACAAACTCAGTTTCTTCCATTTACCAAGAGGAAACTGAGTCACAGAGAGGTTAAGAAGGAGTGGCAGTCATCTCCATTTTGGAAGAATGTAAACTGACATGCAGCAGGTAAAAGAGTTTAGGCCGGGATTAGGGCCCAGATTTAAGTCCACATGAAGTACTTTCCACTAGGACCACTCAAAGCGGTGGAGGAAGCGAGAAGTTGAGAGAAGAAAGGAGATTGTGAGGTATTATTTATTAGTGCATTCCCAGCCATTTCAGGGGGACATGTCCCTTCACCCTGCACCTGTGGGTATTCACCCTGCATGCCCATACCAAGTCTCGGTGGATGACACACGCCTCTTCCAGGTAGGCCATGCCCTCACACACATCCAGACACATGCCCAGCAGGGTCTCTGCAGCAAAAAGCCCCCGCTGGCTGCGCAGATAATCCGACAGGCAGCCGTGCTCCATGAACTCAAACACCAGGCAGATGGGGGCCTGCTCCAGGCACACCCCATACAGCTGGACCAGTTTGGGATGAGACAGTTTCCTGGAAGAAAAAAACAAGGGGTAAAATGGTCTAAACTTAGTCTCTTCCAAAAATGCTGTAAATATTAGGGTGCTGGAATAGTCAATGGTCATTTTGTCTATTATGGTTTGGATGAAAATAATATTCATTTCCTCCCCAAAACAAAAACATGTCATTGGAGCTGAGACCTGACAAATGGCAAGGAGTCAGCTGTGAGTGTGAAGATGAGCAGAGGCCCATTATGGCTGGCATGTCATGGACCAGAGGAAAGATGGGTAGGAGCTGAGAAGGGAAGGTGGGTATAGCCATGGCGGGCCTTGGAAACCACTGTGAAGAGTCTGATTTTATTCTTTGTGCAATAGGAAGCCACTGCTGGGAATTTGCACAGGGAGATAGTAGCACATGACATTTGCATGGTACTTCAGGAACACAGAACCGATGTTCCCCCCCGAGTTTCAGCACATCCTTGTTTCGGCCACTCACATCATGACTTCAGCCTCCTCTATGAAGTCGTCTTCTGACATAGCCCCTTCTCGAATGGTTTTGATAGCCACCTTGTCCTTGTTGAGCCAGTAGCCCAGATGCACCAACCCAAATTGCCCACTGCCAATCTCTTGCACAAAAGTGAGCTCCGAGGGATCGATCACCCATTTCCCTGAAAGAAAGAGAGAGAGTTCTCTAGGGTTGGCAAGCAGTAGATATAAGGTATTGGGATACCAGGGGACTGTAAAGCCCTACCTAGAATTTTAGCCTATTGTTAATATAATTCAGAGAGGGCAAATAAATTATCTTTTCCCCACATAATAACATTGGATATGCCGGAAAACTATGAGAATATGTGTGGGAAGGTAACATGGAGAAAAGATGGAGAAGGGCATGAATCAAGATATTAAAGAAACTATATTAATCAAAATACTAACGAAAGGGTTCTTGCAATGTTCCAACCAAATCTATGTTTGACCGTGAATTTTTTATTGTCATTTTTTACACTAAGTAAATTCCATTTGAGCTGATCATTTATTCATTCATTCATCTATCAAGAGCATCTGCTATATACACAGCACTCTGCTAGGCCTTGCTGGTGGGGTTTGGGGGGCAGTTAAAGAGATAGTTTCAAAGAGAATTTGTGCAGAGGCACAAGCTAGCACGGTGTCTGGCACATGGGAGGCGCTCAAAGAATGTTTAGCAAACAAATACCAGATCCCAAGGCTCAATTTTCTCACTGTCAAAATGAGTGGGTTGACCAGATAATATCTGAGATCCTATCCAGCATGGACACATTAAGACTCTACATTTATTAAAATACCCTTATTTTCATAAGGAGGCTAAAGAGTCATTACCCTTCCCCAATGCTTGGTCTCGTACTTAAATAGCCAAATTTTTACCTCTTTGAGGCAGAGACTCAACAGCAAGCAGTATTGAGCACCAGTAGGTACTGTGTGCCAGACATGGTGCTGGTTAGGGATAAAGCCCATGTGTGGCAGTGGTTCTCAAATTATTGCCCTCTGGCCACCTGTATCAAAGTCACCTAGCATGCTTGTTTAAAATGTAGACTCAGCAGAGCACAGTGGCTCATGACTGTAATCCCAACACACTGGGAGGCCGAGGCAGAAGGATTGCTTGAGCCCAGGAGTTCAAGACCAGCCAGGGCAACATAGTGAGATCCTGTGTCTACAAAAAATTTTTAAAAATTAGCCAGGCATGGTGGTGCGTGTCTGTAGTCACAGCTACTCGGGAGGCTGAGGTGGGAGGATCCCTTGAGCCCAGGATGTCAAGGCAGCAGTGAGCCATGATTACGCCAGTGCATCTCCAGCCTGGGTGACACAGCAAGACCCTGTCAGAAAAAAAAAAAAAAAAAAGTAGACTCCAGGACACTATCAAGGATTGCGTTTTGGTGAGTGTTTGGGTAGGAGCCAGGAGTCAACATTTTTAACAAGCATTCCAGAAGACTTTGGTGCACACTCAAGTTTGAGAACCACCAACCCAGGAGAGAAATGAAAATTAGACCAGCCTTCTCCATAAGCAGCACACAATTGGAACCAAGGGATGCAAAGCCAAATGCCTTCAGAGTCCAGGCAGATAATCCCAAGTGAGTGAAGCAATTCTGCAGGACCAGAAAACATAGTAGAGGCTGCAGCACTGGAGGTCATGCCACGCCTAAAGGCAGTCCAAAGAATTTTAGCACTCTCTTATGCAGACTTCTAGATGCTGTCAGCTTGCTGTTCTTGTAATAGTCTGATACTCAACCAACTAGATGATATAAAAGTTCTAGAAGATGGTGGAAACACAGTACTAATTCATGATTTTCTAATATTATTCTAATAGTATTTAGCAGAATGCTCTATACAAAGTAGGTGCTTAATAAACACTTGATTAATGAACTCTTCACTAGCACCAATGGCCACTGATTTGACCTAGAGAAATGTGCTCATATATGTACGTCCCTAATACACAATGTAAATATTCATTAGTGCCATCATCTCTAGATATATAGTATACTTGTTTTTTGTTTTGTTTTGTTTTGTTGTTTTTTTTTTTTTTTTTTGAGACGGAGTTTCGCTCTTGTCACCCAGGCTGGAGTGTAATGGCGCGATCTCGGCTCACCGCAACCTCCGCCTCCTGGGTTCAGGCAATTCTCCTGCCTCAGCCTCCTGAGTAGCTGGGATTACAGGCACATGCCACCATGCCCAGCTAATTTTTTGTTTAGTAGAGACGGGGTTTCACCATGTTGACCAGGATGGTCTCGATCTCTCGACCTCGTGATCCACCCGCCTCGGCCTCCCAAAGTGCTGGGATTACAAGCTTGAGCCACCGCGCCCGGCAATATACTTGTTTTAATGGTGATCTGTAGCCTGGGAAACAGGTAGGCTCATGGCAAGTTTATTCAGAATTTGCCCCAGATCTTTAGGGACATGAGTTGACATTCCTGGATGTACTGCTCACCGTATCTCAGTCCCGCCGTAACCGGGGCTTTCTGCCTCCCGAAACAAACTGGATACCGGAGTCGAGTGACCAGGCCTGAGTTGATTGAAAAGTCAAGAAGCAGTGGTTAGGGCTTTGCTGTAGCAACCATCTAACTTAAATCACTAGAAAAAATAATCAAAGCAAAAGCTAATTTTATTCTGGAAAACAAATCCCAAAGCCTAACTGCTGATATCACACCCTCCTTGAAAACATTATGAGTGCAGATGGGTAGGTAGTAAAATTTCACGATTTCCACAAGACAGTTTGCTAATAGAAGATATATAATATAATTAAGTATTTGTTGTATTTTTCTATTTGTATATTTAGTGATTATTTGTAGTCAGAAAGAAGCAAGGGTGGGCTTTTGCCAGTTTTCTCCAAGTTTCCTGTGTGGGTGCTGATATAGTTTGGATGTTTGTTCCCTCCACATCTCATGTTGAAATGTAATCCCTGGCTTGGCATGGTGGCTCATGCTTATAATCCCAACACTTTGGGAGGCCGAGGCAGGCAGATCACCTGAGGTCATGAGTTCAAGACCAGCCTGGCCAATGTGGTGAACCCTGTCTCTACCAAAAATATAAAAATTAGCCAGGCATGGTGGTGCACACCTGCAATCCCAGCTACTCAGAAGGCTGAAGCAAGAGAATTGCTTGAACCTGGGAAGTGGTGATTGCAGTGAGCCAAGATCATGCCACTGCACTCCAGCCTGGGTGACACAACGAAACCCTGAGGGAAAAAAAAAAAAGAAAAGAAAGAAAAGAAAAGAAAAAAGAAAAGTAATGGCCTATGCTGGAGGTGGGGCCTGGTGGGATGTATCTGGGTCATTGGGTGATCCCTCATGAATGTCTTGGTGCTATCCTTGTGATAATAAATGAGTTCTCGCTCTGAGTTCACACGAGATCTGGTTGTTTAAATGTGTGTGGCACCTTTCCCCTCCTCATTCCTTCTCCTGCCATGTGATACACCTGCTCCCCTTCTGACTTCTGCCATGACTAAAATCTTACTGAGGCCTCCCTAAAAGCCAAGAAGATGCTGGCACCGTGCTTCCTATACAGCAATGAACCAATTAAACCTCTTTTCTTTATAAATTACCCAGCCTCAGGTATTCTTTGATAGCAATTCAAAAAAGCCTAACCCAGGTACCCTCTGGCTCTGTCCCGTAGGGCAGCAAACCCCAGCCTTTTTGGCACCAGGGACCGGTTTTGTGGAAAACCGTTTTTCCATGGATGGGTGTGGCAGGGGGTTGGTTTCAGGATGAAACTGTTCCATCTCAGATCATCAGGCATTTGATTCTTTTTTAAAATTTTTATTTATTTTTTTAAATTGCATTTTAGATTTTGGGGTACATGTGAAGAACATGCAAGAGGCTGGGCGTGGTGGCTCACGCCTGTAATCTCAGCACTTTGGGAGGCCAAGGTGGGTGGATCACCTGAGGTCAGGAGTTCAAGACCAGCCTGGCCAACACGGTGAAACCCTGTCTTTTAAAAAATAAAATAAAAAATAAAAATTAAAAAAAGGACATTGCAAGATTGTTGCATAGGTACATACATGGCAGGATGATTTGCTGCCTTCCTCCTCATCACCTGTATCTGGCATTTCTCCCCATGCTATCTCTCCCTAACTCCCCACCCCCTGCTGTCCCTCCCCGATTTCCCCCCAACAGATCCCAGTGTGTGATGCTCCCTTCCCTGTGTCCATGTGTTCTCATTGTTCAACATCCACCTATAAGTGAGAACATGTGGTGTTTGATTTTCTGTTCTTGTGTCAGTTTGCTGAGAATGATGGTTTCCAGGTTCATCCATGTCCCTACAAAGGACACTCATCATTTTTGATGGCTGCATAATATTCCATGGTGTATATGTGCCACATTTTCCCTGTCCAGTCTATTATTGAGGGGCATTCGGGTTGGTTCCAGGTCTTTGCTATTGTAAACAGTGTTGCAATGAACATTCGTGTGCATGTGTCCTTATAGTAAATTCTTATAAGGAGCACACAACCTAGATCCCACAAGTGCTATTCACAATAGGGTTTGCACTCCTATGAGAATCTATGCTGCCGATCCAACGGAGGCAGAGCTCAGGCGGTACTGCTTGCTTGCCCGCTGCTCACCTGTGGGGTGGCCCTGGTCCACCCCTGCTCCACCCCTGCTCTGGAGCTTACCTCCTCCATTATGCTGGTGATAGTTGATGAGAAGAGGGATGGAATCAAACACGTACTTTTCAGCCACATAATATCGCTTAGGATTGTCATTTGTTTCCTTGATGTGATAGTGCTTTATACAGGGATTGTTCTCACTTAAACAAATGAAACACAAATGTAGTGACTATTAAGAAGCAATGTTGAGACACAAATAAGTCTACTAGTATTAAGTTCTTATTATCTTTGTCTTGTAACCTCTCACAAAGATGGCAGCTATAGTTCAATGTGTAAATAGGTCCTGACAGGTTGGCCCCGGGTGCTTGCAGTACTGTGTTAAAAAGAACTCTGAGGCTGTGTCTGGACCCAGTGGACAGCAGTGCTGTGATGGATTGGTGATAGTTCTTCACTGCCACAAAATGAGGGAGTGGATGCATGTGCTATGTGTTTGCCCTGCCTGCTCTATAAATTTAACTGATTGGTCAGCATACATTGAGAAAGCCTCTCTGACCCCTTCACACTTATTTGACTTTGTACTGCTGCAGAGGATGAACAGAACAGGCCTGACTACTCTCCTTAGGAAGGCCTGCTTGCATTGTTAGCCCTTGGCTGGTGTTTGGGAACTTGGATTTCGGGACGGCTCTTTCCCTAACTGATGAGGGTGATGAGCTGTGCTGAAACTTTGCTAGAAACAATGTGCTCCGTGGTGAACACCTGTTTTCCTTTTGGGTATCTGGAATTTTGGCATCTGCTAGACACGAGCTGCCTGTGGAAACAGCCTCCAATAAAAGCCTTGGGCACCGAGTCTCTAATGAGCTCCCCTGGTAGACAGTGCTCACGTGTGGTCACAGCTCATTGCTGGAGGAATTAAGCACGTCCTGCGTGGCTCCAGTGGGAGAGGGCTCTCGGAAGCTTGTGTTTTGCTTCCTCTAGATTTTGTCCCATGTGCCTTTTCCCTTTGCTGACTTTGCTTTGGGTCACTTTGTTGTATTAAATCTCAGTAAGTCTCAGTCCTGGAAGGTCTCTCCTAATGAGTCTCCAAAGCTGAGGGTAGTTGTGGGGAGCCTCGACACAGACATTATGTCTCACCCCTTCTCCATCATACCTGTGGGATTGCAGGTTGTAGGTCACCTCCTGTCTGCAAGCCATGGCAGAGATGCAGCCCCTCTGTGATACACACCGTGTTCCCTCCCATCCCTGGATCGGGCTCTTGGCCACCTGCCCTTGCTCCACATCCTGCTCACATCCTCAGTCTTCCAAAAAAATTTTCCAAAGACACCTTAAAAATTATTTGTCTCTTAATTCTGACTACTTTGGCCATTGTCAAACAGCGGTTCTTAGTTAATTGGTTCTTACTAATGTTTTAATTAGAAGGGAATTTGAGACCTAGATAGGTTCTTAGACATCATTTTACAGAGAAGAAACAGGTCCAGAGGGGCAGACAAGCAGCAAGGGTCTTGCAGTCATTGGCTGGAGCCTGGATGTGGCTTGACCCTTTCGGACCCACGGTCACAGGGAGGCACCATCAGCTTCTGAATCTCGGTTTCTTCTGTGTGAAATGAGCATAGTAATACCTGCCTTCAGGACTTTTTTAGAATTGGAAATGGTCTGCATATTTTCTGGCACATAATAAAGACTCAATTAATGGTAAGCAGTTTTATGAGCAGAGCCAGAACTAGAGTTGATACATTTTTGCTTCCAGATAATAATATCTTTTCTGTTGCTCTATGTATTTTATACTCATCCAATACAGTGCCAAGTATTTTATGTCTTTAGAACTCTAAAATTAGGTATGCTAACTGAAAGCGGACCTGGCGTCTACCCCCAGCTCTGTCACTTTCTAAGTCTCTTCGGTTCTATCCTTGATCTCCATGGCCTTGGTTTTCTTCGAGTAAAGACGGAAAGCAGACCATTTCTAGTGAGCCTCTGCCTCTCGCACTGTCTGACTCTGTTGTCTGTGCTCCAGTGCTCGCACACTTCACAAGTGTTTCTCCCCACTTTGCTGAGCAGGGTTAGCTCCATACCTTACAATGGCCTTAGTGAACACAGACACGGTGTATGTTCCTGGAGTCCTAGAATCTCTTACCATGAAGGCTCCTTCTTTGCCCTGTAACGGTTAGAAAGAATGGAAGGTTAGTGATCTCAGGAAACCAGGCTTATGCCCCCAGCTCTGCTTTCTTGCCCACAGAAGGAGGAAATACTGTAGGCCCACTTGGCAAAGAGCAAATTTCAGTAAGAATGGCAACCGTTTCATTCATTCCTGTCCTTCAGCAGATATTTCTTGGTCTCCTTCATGGATCCCAGACTGTTCTCGTGCTGACGTGAACCATGAGTGGAAACAGACATAGCTCTGCCCTATTAAAGCTCCCATGTATTTATCAGACTCTTTACAGATATTTTCCAGTTCTTACCACAACACGGTCATCTGGACACTGGTATCCTTAATTTCCAGTGACACTGAGTGCCAGAGAGCTTAAGTGACATTCCCAAGACCCACAACTAGAAAGTGACTGAACTGGGATTTGAACTCTGGCATGCAAGCAAAACCAAGGCTCGGTCTACTACTCCAGGATACCTCCTGTCAAAGGATGTTAGAAGCTGCTTCCCCATTCCCCCACAAAGGCACAAAACTGTCCTGAAAACTTCATCGGTGTCTTACTGGGAATATATGTCTTTTTATAAAATTTTAGAGTCGTGGGTACATGTGCAGATTTGTTATGTGGACATACTGTGTGATGCTGAGATTTGGGCTTCTGACAGGGACCCACTGAAGTTTGCCCTCACATTTAACTAAGGAGGAGAAGACAATTTGGTAAAGTAGCTCAAAATATTAGTAAGGAGGCTGAGTGCAGTGGCTTATGCCTGTAATCCTAGCACTCTGAGATGCAAAAGTGGATGGATCACCTGGGGTAAGGAGTTTGAGACCAGCCTGGCCAACCTGGCAACACCTCGTCCCTACTAAAAATACAAAAATTAGTTGGGTGTGGTGGTGCGTGCCTGTAATCCCAGTTACTCAGGTGGCTGAGGCAGGAGAATCACTTGAACCTGGGAGGTGGAGGTTGTGGTGAGCCGAGATTGTGCCACTGCACTCCAGCTTGAGTGATAGAGCAAGACTCAGTCTCAAAAAGGAAAAAAAAAAATTAGTAAAGAGAAATGTTTCAACTGCCAGAGCAAGCAAAATGTGCTTAGCACCTCACAAGAACTGCTGTAATACAGGAATCATCTTTAGGAAGTCATTAATGTAGGCTGTTTAAAGTGTTCCATAGACGTCATTAACCAATGTATGATTTAAAATAACAAAACTACACTTGTTTAAACACAGTGTAATTCAGAGTTTTAGTTAATTTTGCACTCCTCCCAATTAGTTCTTTGTTATCCAATAAGACAGATTGGTGGCACCAGGTTTGTGCTGCCTACATTTGCATTGTAAGTTTAACTTGAGAAAGTACAGATTCCTGGGAACTAACGCTGGAGGTTCTGATTCTGTGGATCTGGAGTGGGACCTGGGAATCTGTGTTTTTGAACATTTCCCAGCAATTCTAATGTGTGTTTCTGGGGGAACTCACAGGAAATAATTAAATGCTGAGTTGATGTAGAGCCAAGGAAAGACCAGAGTCCAGTAAGGACCCAGCTCAACTTCTTTTCCTTTGTGGAATCTTTCCCGACTCCTTTGGAGTTTACCATGGTTTATTTTAGATTATCTGCTCGTTCTTTCTTCAGCATTTATCTTGCTTCTCGATAGAGTCCCAATGCCATGGACTGCGATCAGCCATGTAGGTCACAGGACAAGGAGCAGAAAGTGGCAGGATAAGGGCTGGGTAACTGTCATCCCTGACTTAATTCAATGCTCCCCTTGTACTTATTGAAAAACTGAGGCCCAGAAGGAAGAAGAGAAGAGCCCAAAGTCACACACTGAGCTGGTGACATAACAGGAACCAGAACCCAGTACCTGTCCCACCATACTGTGTTTTCTGTTTTCTCTTCTCTTTCTCCCTTAATCTTGACATCCCTGAGTAAAATCGGTCCTGCTATGCACACTGCATGGCTTTAGAGAATAACTGTTGATGAAAAGTAAGTTCAAACAGGTGCTATGTTTCCTCTGGACTCACAGTCCAACCAGGCTGAATCAGGTCACAGGCACCCCTGACCTCGACTGAGAAGAGGGCATAGCAGACCAGCCCTGATGGCACCCCACAGTCAGCCATCACCACTCACAAAGACTGCTGCAGCTGTGTGATGTCTGCATGTCAGTGCCAAGCCCAGGTGTCTTAGACTATGATTTGCTAGTCTTGTAAATCCCCAGAATATTTACAGCAGACATGAAAACTATTGTAATCGAACATGTCAACCCACTGCACTGGCATAAAATACCGCAAGGCTGATAAAACAGTACAGTTCTTTCTTTTCTTTTTCCCTTTCTTCCTTTCTCTCTCTCCTTCCTCCCTCCCTCCCTCCCTTTCTTCCTTCCTTCTTTCCTTTCTTCCTTCCTTCCTTCCCTCCTTCTTTCCTTCCTTCATTCTCTCCTTCCTTCCTTCTTTTAACAAATTCTTGCTCTTGCCCAGGCTTGAGTCCAGTGGCATAATAATAACTCACTGGAAACCTGAACTCCTAGGCTCAAATGATCTTCCCACCTTGACCTGCCACGTCGCTGAGATTCCAGGCATGAGACACTGCACTCAGCCTTAATTCATTTTATGTCAAAAGACAGGTTAAGGAGACTTACTGTGTCCAAAAGAAGTTTTTCAGCTTTGTCTCGGCTGATACTCTTATTGTACCACCTGAAAGCAAGGAAAAGTCGTATGTCAATGACATTTTAAAGTTTCATTATTTACTTATAAAAGACAATGCAAGAAAATCATACAGTCATTTTCTGTTTCTACCAGTGCTTTAAATTTTTTTTAGAATACATTTTATTTATTTAACAAGCCTGCACATGTATGTTTCCACCAGTGCTTTTAGACTCAAAAGCAAATGCATGATTAAGTTTTCATTTCCAGGTATTAAAATGTTTAATTGGAAAGGAACATATACAGAATTAGCAAAATATTGATCATTGTTGATGCTGGGTTTGGGGAACATGGATATTCATTATATGATTCTCTCTACTTTTGTATATGCTGAAAGTTTTCTAAAATACAATTTTAGAAAACATTAATTTTCCTCTTTGTTTCATAAGTCAGTGGGCGGCTGATTACAAGGAGGAGGGTGCTAGGGCAACTATAAAAATGTAATACCAGTTTGAAAGTTCAGCAAATATCCTTTTAAAACAACTGTAGTATTTTACACTTTAAGACTGGTCTTCCAGACATTCTGCCAAGGAATTGCATTATTTTTATAATTTTGTTGCCTGGTAAAAAATAACAATAAAATGGTAAAGAAGAATATAAATGAGTTTTACGGATAAATTTTTATGTTGTTAACAATATTTGAGCCACATCCTGGACTCTGTGGCTGCTTTTTAGGTAAGAGGAGGCAGGCTAATCATCGGTTAATAACTGGTCTTGAAAATTAATAAATACAGGAGGAGAAAAGCTCTGGGTAGGGAAGGAATACCACTTACTGAACTTATTTGGCGTTTTGAGAGTAGCCATGACTAAAGGAATTCATGAATTCGTTAGAGGTTTTCAAACATTATAAGACAGAACCGTACCTCACACCAACACGGGCTCCTAGAGATTATCTAATTGAGCGCTGGGCAAACATAGACTTCATGTCATACACAAGCCCCCAGCAGTAGTAGTGGCTGCCAGGAGCTGTGCATTGAAAAGGTTGTTGTCAGCACGGTGGGTAAGTAGTTTCACTATCAAGGAGTAATGTCTACCTGAGCTCAGTGCTGGGGTGGGGAATGCCAGCAAGAGTCATGATTTGCTTTCCTTCATCTTGTCTGAGCCTTCATTTTATGGAGAAGGGATCAGAACTCAAACAGGGTGAGGTAACTTGCCCAAGGTCATGACTGCAAACCAAGGCGGGAGATCTGAATCCATTCAATTTACCAACCCATGATTATGTTCCCAGGTGGTACGTTTGTAAGTACTTACGCAGATCTCACCTGAAACTAGACAACTCTAAGTTCATGGATAAAAAGTTATCATATTGGATATCTTTCACATATCCAGTTGTATACTAAATATCTCAATGTTGGCTTGTAAGTCATGTTATTTTCCAGCTGAGATTCATAATCTGGAAAATGCAAACTGAAAGTCCACAGTATAAATAGATTGTTTGGTTTGTATGGTATAGTGTTTCATTTTTAAAATGGCTTAAAATACCTTTAGGTGTGTGAATAGACTTTTTTTATTTGCTCCAGGCCTCACTATTCCCTATTGCTTATCCTGTTGGAATTGAGTTTCCTCCTTTGATCATAAACAAAGAGATTCTGATTAAAAGCAAGGATGAACAAACAAAACTACATAGCCTAGTGGTCATTTGAAATAAATGCTTATTGTTTTTTTCTCCAAAGGTATTGCCTATAAATTTTTTAAAATTTTATTTAAGCATATCTCCTGTATGTTTTATTTCAGCTCAAGAATTCTTAGAACTGATGACTGTTCTGTTCACTGAGGGAAGTGCTACTCACACATACTTGATCAAAACAAGCCGAGAGCACCAGAAAACGATGGTTCTTCATTAAGGATTCTATTAGAATTTCAGCAACAAAATAACTTGGCCACATTTGAATTAAGAACCCTAATGTGTGAACAGGTGTCCTCATTAGCTTTATTCTTCAGGCCTGGTATCTTATATTTAGTGAGTAATTAATTTTTTAAGTAATTTCAAACTTAAAGAAAAGCTGTAAAATAGTATAAAAGAACCCTCATATACACCTCACCCAGATAAGCCAATTACTGACTTTTATACATTTGCTTTCGTATTCTTTTTAGATAGATATAGATTGATTTATTTTCTGAACCATTTGAGAATTGACTTTTACTTTTAAGTACTTCTGTGTCTATTTCCTAAGACATAAAGTATACACTTATCTAACCATGATACAATGACCAAAATCATGAGATTTAACATCTACATAATACCATTATTTAACTGCAGATCTTATTCAAATTTTATCAGTTGTCCCAATAATGTATAATAAAAACATTTTTTATGTGGTTCAAGATCCAGCCCAAGATCACTACCATATTTAGTTACTATGTCTTTTTAGTCTTTTTTTTTTTTTTTAAATAGAGTTTCACTCTTGTTGCCTTGGCTGGAGTTGCAATGGCAGGATCTTGGCTCACTGCCACCTCCGCCTTCTGGGTTCAAGAGATTCTTCTGCCTCAGCCTCCCAAGTATCTGGGATTACAGGCATGAGCCACCACACCCAGCTTATTTTATATTTTTAGTAGAGACAGAGGTTTCACCATGTTGGTCAGGCTGGTCTCGAACTCCTGATTTCATGTGATCCACCTGTTTCAGCCTCCCAAAGTTCTGGGATTACAGGTGTGAGCCACCGTGCCTGGCCTCTTTAGTTTTTTTTTAATGTGGACCAATTTCTCAGTCTGTTGTGCCTTTCATGGTACTAACGTTTTTTTGAAGAGCACAGGACATTAATTTTAGAGAATAATCCTTAAATTGGATTTGTCTAATATACTGTTATAAACATATCCTCATGAGTAAATCCAAGTTGTGCATTTTTGAGCCGAAATACCACAGAAGTGATGTGTGCCCTTCTCAGTGTATCACATAAGGAGAAACATGATATCTTTTTGCTCCATTATTTATGTGCATTTTGACTGACTGTTTAAGATGGGCCTACTAGTTACCTCCATTTAGTAATTACAAGTGATTTGTGAGGAGATACTTTGAGACTGTGTAAATATGCCATAGCTCATCAAACTTTAACCTGCTGGTGGTGACGTTCATTAAGGATTCTTGCCTGAATCAGTTAATCATTTTGAGCTACAAAATGATGATTTTTACAAAATGATGATTTTTAAACTTTATCATTCATTGGTTGACATTCTACTATAGGAAAAAAAAACCTTTCCTTTTTATGTATTTACTTCTTTATTTATCGATCAGTCTATTTATTACAGATTCTTATATTGTTCAATGGTTTGTAGTCTATTACTTATTTTAATACTTATTATTTATTTTGACACTCAAATTGTCCCAGATTTCATCAAATGGAGCCTGTCCCAGATTTCATCAAATGGATGATCTCTACTGCAGTAGAGATCCTGTGGTATTTTTATAGTCAGCCAATAATTTATTGCTAACCTAGGGAGGATTCTTTAGGACTATATTTTCCAAAAACAAATAAAATATCTTCTTCAGATATGAATGGTACAAACAAGAGAAAAAAGATAAGGCCAGGCTAGATTTGGGGATCGGGAGTCACTTTTGAGCAAGAATTAATAATTGTGCATAAACAAAAAACCTAATAAACAAAGTAAGAATCAACTTCTGTGCTCATTTGACATGCCTACATCTTTCTGGCTGGGCACAGTGGTTCACACCTGTAATCCCAGCAGTTTGGGAGGCCAAGGCAGGAGGATCACTTGAACCCAGTAGTTTGAGACCAGCCTGGGCAACCTAGTGAGACCCTGTCTCTACAGAAAACTTACAAATTAGCTGGAGATGGGCGACATGTGCCTGTAGTCCCGGCTATATGGGAGGCTGAGGATTGCTTCAGCCTAGTAGGTCAAAGGTGCAATAAGCCAAGATCACACTACTGCACTCCAGACTAGGTGACAGCGAGACCCTGTCTCAAAAAAATTAAACAAGAAAAATGTATTTTCAAGTACTTCTTTATTTCTGGCACAAAAAGATGTTCCAAGTTCTTTTTTGTTCTATCCCTACTCCAAGCTATTTCTCCAGAAAGTCCTGGTTCTTTTTAGTGGAAAGTGTTATTTAGAAACCAGGATCTGGGTGGTATGCATGCACATTGCTGTGCAGTAGAGATCATCCGGCATTTTAACAGTCAATCAATAATTTACCCCCAACCTAGGGAGGATTCCTTAGGACTATGTTTCCCCAAAACAAAGAAAATATCTTACTCATAGGTTTCCAGATTATTTGGAGATTTTTCCACCAGATAACTGCTTGGTACATATCCTTCATGCCTGTTAAAAGAAAAATTAGTGTTTAGACTTACATAGAACTAAGTTTTACATCATTTTATAGGTTTAATCCACCAAAAGTCATTTAAAAATTGGGGGAATATCACATTATTTGGCATTTGTAATAAAATATTTTAAAGTTTAGAATAAAAGAGCTGGTAAAAATAACAGCAAACTGCTGTCTGTTAAAGAGACGCTGATTTCATGACTAAAATATGAAACAATAAAAAAGAAGCGCGATTTTACTTAAAAAGCTCTGCTTGCTGCTCTCCTCATTGTGAAATTTCCTCTACTGGAAAAAATATTAATATTCACTCTCTATTTTCTATAAGGAAACATTTTTGTGTGATAATTAGCATTTTTTCCACTTTAGTACTATCATTTTGTAGTCAGGAAACCAAAATAATTAAAATATAAAAGACGACTTTCCAACCACAGATTCTAAAAGATACTACCAGTTGGCATTGTAAGCTTTTTATTTTAAGGCCTCCATAACTGAGCTTTTTCAGATATGAATGGTAAAAACACAAGATAAAAGGATAAAGCCAGGCTAGATTTGGGGATCGGGAGTCACTTTTGAGGAAGAATTAATAATTGTGCATAAACAAAAAAGAGTGTTGGGGGGAAATGGGGGAGGGGCGGGGGGTGGGGAGGTGGGAAGAGATAGCATGGGGAGAAATGACAGATACAGGTGAGGGGACGGAAGGCAGCAAAGCACACTGCCATGTGTGTACCTATGCAACAATCTTGCATGTTCATCACATGTACCCCAAAACCTAAAATGCAATAAAAAAAAAATTAAAAAAAAAAAAGAGTATCAAACTTCTTTACATTTGTGTATAACTTTGTAGTTTTCAAAGCACTTTCACATTCGTTATCTCCTTTAATATCACAAGGTGAGGGCGGCATCCCTTCCACTCTCTGGACATCTAGCTTTATATCCGTCAAGTGAAGGGCTTAAACTAGATTATACGTAAAATTTAGTTTAAGTAGATAATCCATACACTGCCAATCTGTAAAAAAAGATGCCTGATAGGCCTGGTGCAGTGGCTCATGCCTGTAATCCTAGCACTTTGGGAGGCCAAGGTGGGCGGTTCACTTGAGCTCAGGAGTTTGAGACCAACCTGGGCAACATGGTGAAACCCCCATCTTTGGAAAATATACAAAAATTAGCCAGGTGTGGTGGCATGCACCTATAGTCTCAGCTACTTGGGAGGCTGAGGAACGAGACTCACTTAATGTGGGGAGGGAGGGTGGAGGTTGCAGTGAGCTGAGATCATGCCACTGCACTCCAGCCCGTGACAGAGCAAGACTCTGTCTCAAAAAAAAAAAAAAAAAAAAATGCCTTTAGTTTTTTCCTCTTTATTTCATAAAATGTTTTAATTTTCTTACAGTAAGGCCAATTTTCAATCTAGTGATTATGTTTATGGGAAAGGTGTAATTGGTACACAGATTGACTGGAGATGTCAAATACAGGGTGACTGTCTTATATTTTACTCCTCTGGCAGACATTGCTAATCAATCACGGCATACTTTCTTTGGAGAACTGTACATCTGGCCTCAGATCATCCTTCACCCAGTGCTCAAGGCAGCCATTCCAACTGAAGAAACTCAGCTTATTCTGAAATTTGCTGTTCTTTCTGTATAACTCTTGGGATCCCTAATTATGTCTGGTTTTGCCATACTATACTTTACAACTATATTAATGGATCAAATAATATTTTGCTATTGAATACAATATGCCGCCAAAAGCTGGGTCATGTCCACAAATGATAACTCTAATACTTGTATGTGGATAGGTAAAATTTATAAAGCTCTTTCACTTCCAACATTTTCACTGATTTTCTCAACACTGTGAGACAGACAAAGCTGACATTATCTGCATTTTACAGTTCTGGAGATGAATTTGCGGAGGATAAGTTACTTGACCATGTTATATGACATGGTCATCTGTGAATCCTCAGCTGCATGTGACAAGAGTAGCTGAGTCCTCTGTCTTCCCATCTTGTGTACTTTCCACTATACCACACGATCACAAAGCAAACTGGGGAAATTCCCATAATGCTGACTGGCTGCTGGGGTGTCCTCTTTGATGCCCTTTGAAGTGCACAGTTCGGCCTTTCTACAGGTCACCAAATGAAGGGTTTAACTGTCATTTGGGGAATTAAGATCTAGAAGAAGAAATTTCCTGGTACATTAGGTGTGCTAAATAATGTCAGTTGATTGAACTAGTGAATTTCTAAGTCCCTTTGGTGTTTATAGACCCTGTAGACAGTCTTGAACCTATTTCGGATATGGGCCTCTCCAAAATGAACAAAGAGAGGGGGATGTGACCAACTTCAATTATCTCCCTGATTCAACTAGAGAGGGAGGTTTCAAATGAGAAGGTGGGGTCTGTTCTTAGCTAGCAAACCACACTGCCTCTCAAACCATGGTTCTGAATCTCATCACCTTTCACCCTTCCTCACTCCTGTCTTTCCTTCCCCTGCAATGGGGCTGATAAGCCTACTTAAAGAGGAGACACCTGGAAAATGTAAATTGGGTCTATGTAAAAGGTAAAGCGTCATCCTTGAAGATATTTGTGCCTCCCCCCACATTTTTTTAACTCATCAGATTGGCTTTTTTTTTAAGTTCAGTGATACCCAAACTCAGCACTTCCACAACCCTGTTAGCAGGAATGTAAATTTGGCAAGCTTTGTGAGGAAATTATATGTCAAAATTAAGATACCACATACTCGGACTCAATTGTTGCACAGTTAGAAATGTGACATACAGGCCAAGCATGGTGGCTTATGCTTGTAATCCCAACCACTTTGGGAGGCCAAAGCAGGAGAATTGCTTGAGCACAGTAGTTTCAGACAAGCCCTGGCAACGCAGTGAGACCCCATCGCTACAAAACATTTAAAAATTATCTGGGCATGGTGGTACATGCCTATAGTCTCATCTACTCAGGGGTCTGAGGTGGGAGGATCACATGAGCCTGGGAAGTCAGAGCTGCAGTGAACTGTGATAGTGCTGCTGTGCTCCAAACTAGGTGACAGAGAAAGACCCTGTCTCAAAAAAAAAAAAAAAAAAAAGAGAAAAGTTATGTGTGTGTGTGTGTGTGTGTGTGTGTGTGTATTCCAAAGATTGCCAAGACGCATGAACACAAGCTCTTCATTAAAGCCTTGTTTGAAACAGCAGAGGAAACAAACAGGCAAATAAATGTCCCACCACAATGGGTTATTTAAACATTTATAATACAATCATACATTCTAATATTATGCAATTTTTGTTTTTCTGAGATGGAGTCTCACTGTTGCCCAGGCTGCAGTGCAGTGGCACGATCTCAGCTCACTGAAACCTCCACCTCCTGGGTTCAAGCGATTCTCCTGCCTCAGCCTCCCAAGTAGCTGGGGTCACAGGCGCCTGCCACCACGCCCAGCTAATTTTTTTGTATTTTTAGTAGAGACGGGGTTTCACCATGTTGGCCAGGCTGGTCTCCAACTCCTGACCTCAGGTGATCAGCCTACCTTGGCCTCCCAAAGTGCTGGGATTACAGGTGTGAGCCACTGCACCCGGCCTATGCAATTATTTTCAAAATGAAGATTTGCAGGTGCTGGAATGAAAAGATCTTTAATGTGTATTATATCATTAAAACTTAAAAGCAAGACGCAGAACAGAATGGATCAACTTGGTACAAGTGAAAAAAGGATGCATTTGCATACGTATAACTTGTTTAGGATACACAAAAAGGTATTAATAGTAATCACCTTTTTTTTTCTTTTTTTGAGACAGTCTTGCTCTGTCACTCAGGCTGGAGTACAGTGGCACCATCTCATCACACTGCAACCTCTCTGTCCTGGGTTCAAGTGACTCTCATGCTTCAGCCACTGGAGTAGCTGGCACTACAGGCGTGCTCCACCGCATCTGGCTAATTTTTGTATTTTTAGTAGAGAAGCTGTTTCACCATGTTGGCCAGGCTGGTCTTAAACTCTTGGCCTCAAGCGATCCGCCCACCTTGGCCTCCCAAACTGCTGGGATTACAGGTGTGAGCCATGGCACCCGGCCAAATAGTGATTACTTTTGGACTTGATGTGGAGGTAAATAGAGGATGGCTTATTTTTTTTCATGTATATTTCTCTCTACTGTTAGTCAAATAAAATGTTGACATAAATAATTCATATGTTGCAATGACAGCTTTTTCTTTTTTATATTTTAAAATTAATGATAACCTCATACTTTGAAAACATGTAAACCCTTAATATTAATATACAAAGATGTTCACTGCAGTGCTGTTAATATTTGCAAAATATTGGAGACAACCTAAGTGTTCAACAAAGGAATTTGCTAATTTAGGGTACATTTATTGCTGGATTTATGCAACCATTGCACTCATACTCTGGAAAATATTTCAGAGGATGGGTTAATACGTCTGATATAATAAAAGAAAAACCTTAAAAGGCAGTGTGAATCTCATGATCGATATTTTTTTTCATTCAAAAGTCCCATAGTAGAAAAGTGGCGCCGGGCGCGGTGGCTCAAGCCTGTAATCCCAGCACTTTGGGAGGCCGAGGCGGGTGGATCACAAGGTCGAGAGATCGAGACCATCCTGGTCAACATGGTGAAACCCCGTCTCTACTAAAAATACAAAAAAATTAGCTGGGCATGGTGGCGCGTGCCTGTAATCCCAGCTACTCAGGAGGCTGAGGCAGGAGAATTGCCTGACCCCAGGAGGCGGAGGTTGCGGTGAGCCGAGATCGCGCCATTGCACTCCAGCCTGGGTAACAAAAGCGAAACTCCGTCTCAAAAAAAAAAAAAAAAAAAAAAAAGAAAAGTGGCATTTGTACAACCTTATTTTCCCCGAGTCATGTGGATGGCTAGTTCAATGACTGCAACTGTAACTAAATCTGTAGAATCTTCATTCTGACTTGTCCTATGTAACTGTCAATCTCTACCATCTCTGCACACCTTATCTTTCCACCAAAAATAAGCTCTTCCTAACGGGATGTACCTTCAGCCTCACTTAACACTCAAGGACAATAGCGCTTTGCTGAACAAGTTGCCAAGCTCCCAAACTGTCGATGTCAGTGGAAAAATCCAGGGCATTTTTAGATGAGTTTGGGTCTGGAGTGCTTGAGATGGGGTGCAGGGAGCAAGCATAGCAGCAGGTAACTGCCTCAGAGTCACTTCTGAGAAGAGGAAAAATGAGCCTCAACTACTTCCTCTTCCTCTGCCCCTGCTCTCCTCTCCCATCTCAGCGCAGTGGTCACGCTGCTGGAGGTAGGACAGATCATCCTGGTATTATCTTTGTTCCCACCGCCTCAAACACGGGGGCAGCAGCCGCAAAGATGCCTTACCCATTCCTGTCCTGGACTCTCCACCAGTGAATCTCGGAACTGTCCAGCAGGCAGTACTCTTCATTGCGCCGTAGGGCGAGTTCCTGAGGATCGTTGGTTTGGTAGTCATACAAGGCAATGACCACAGTGTCTTCAGGTTCCCAAAGTGGTCTCTGGGGAAGGGAGACAACAAAACCAAGCAAAGACATAAAAAGGGGGTAAAACACCTCCTTTCCTCAGGATGTCTTGGGAGACAATTTGCCTTCCACTGGTTGACTTTCTTTATGAGTTAGAGTTACGGTGCTGACTATGACACAGAGACGTTAGTACTTGGAATTCATTCTCATTCTATGAGGTAAATTCTGACCACAGTGAATTCCAAGTAGCCACACGGGTTTCACAAAAGTCTGCTGGTTTCTCTATCTGCACTGTTATATGTGGCAGCCTCTCTGCCGGATGCATCATGCCCTTGGCAAAGGAGACGCAGTCAACATTAATCTTTAAGTTTGTGCTTTGCTGCTATGACTTGTGGGTTTATCCAGGTCTACAGAATCATAGGGTATTGGAGCTGGAATTCCTCTGACAGATTACTTCATGCACTTTTTCATTTAGGATGAGGAAACTGAGGCCTAGATGGAGAAATGGACCTGGAAAATCTACCACTTGAATTAGCCCCAAGCCTCTCTCTACTCTAGCACCTGTCTGCCTTCTTTCTCCTGCAGACTCTCTTGCTGATGTCTCTGTTCCTCAATCCTTTTCTTAGGATGAGATATTGGGGACATGAAAAAAGACTACAAAGCACACAGTCACCAGAGTTCAGGACGGACACACCTGCTCTGGGTTGGCAGACTTTGTGAAAGTAAATGTGGGGAAAGCTTGAGTTCCTGGCTAGAATGTGATTTAGTGTTAGGAAGTCACAAGTTCTCTGAGTACACTGAAGCATTCGGTGGCATAAAAATACTGAAGCTGAAAAAAAAAGTCTCTCATTATACTGATGTAGTATGTCATCCCACTGAGCCCAGATTGGATTTTTTTTTTCTTAAATAGAGACGAGGTCTCACTGTGTTGCTTAGGCTGATCTCAAACTCCTGGGGTCAAGTGATCCTCCTGCCTTGGCCTCCCAAAGTGCGGGGATTACAGACATGAGCCACTGCGCTCGGCTGCAGATTGGAGTTTGACATCCAGATATTTGTAAAGCTTGTGAGGTTGTATAAATAGGGTGCTACAGACAAGCACAGATGGCCTGAGGCTTTTGCTCTAAGAGCTCATGGAGGGAGGAATTGTATTCAAGGATGCTTGGAGAAGATGAAGGAGAGTTATGGCACTCATCCCACTCTAGGTCAACTCATTGGTTAATACCTGTGAAGAGAAAGATCAGAGCAGGGTCCTCAAATTATGATGGTACCTTTCTATAGGGGGCACACCGGCCATGTATGGTTTTTTTTCCTAACAATTATGCAAACTTGGAATATGGGGGTTATTTTGAATATCATAAAATTTGAAGTGTCCTATAGGCCTTTAATGGGTGATGGGCAAGAATGCAAAATGCTCTATAGGGTCCCACATTCCCTACAACTTTCGACTATCCTAGTAGACATTCATGTGGTGAGAAACCAGCTTATGCAGTAATTATGTAAGAACAGCCTGATCCTAGATCCTATCTGTACACTATACAAAGTACTGGGTTTCCCAAGAATGCAACTACCTTGTTCTTTGAGGGAAGATTATACTTTGGTTCAGAAGTTTATCAAGAGTTGTTCATCATTTTGGAAAATTATATCACAGGTGGTAAGACTGTAGTTGAATCTCAATACTGCATTTTGTATCAGTTGCATTTGAGATGCCAAATTCAATGGGATCCTACCTACAGGTGCAAGCAATCAATTATTTCATTCTGTCTTCCAGTGCAGTCATGCTCCAATATTTATATAGAAACTCTTATTTTGTTATATTATTTTTCTTTCCAGTTTAAATATTACAGTTAGAACATTTATTGATTCTTTTTAAAAAGTATGTGTAATACAAAAATTAGCCAGGTGTAGTGGCAAATGCCTGTAGCCCCAGCCACCATGGAGGCTGAGGAGGGAGGACAGCCTGAACCCGAGAGATAGATGGTGCAGTGAGCTATGACTGCACCACTGCACTCCAGCCTGGGCAACAGAGTGAGGCCCTGTCTCAAAACAACAAAAAAATTTTTAATTAAATATTTTAATTTAAAAAAATTATACATGCATTTATGTGTTATAATATTTATAAATTTCTTTTCAGGATAATAAAAGGAGCCTTACGAATATCTGTCATTAAAAGGCAGCATTAAGTTTGCTAGGGTTGGGAACCATTAGATTTGAGTGAGAAAATCAAGGGATAGTATTTGGAGAAACTGAGTCCGTGGGCTCAGGAATGGTTGGGAGCGTCCTTGATGCGGTGAGGCATGAAGGGAATGAGAATCCCATCTCCCAGCCACTCTGCTGCAGGCCTCAGCACAACCTGGCCCCCCCGAACCTCTCCTGGTTCCAGCTGGGAAGAGCTCCACTGGGCTGAGGGGCCCTCACAGAGAGCCCAGGTAGCAGTGGCAGGGATAGGGTACCTTAGTAGGGACCCAGGGAGAAAGGACACATGCAGACACATTCTAGTGGCCCCTCAGCTGGGTTGGCTGGGAGAGATCATAAGAGGAAGAGTTGAGTTCCATGGATTCAGGGGGTCAAGAGGAATCAGAATTTGGACTTCAGTGTGCAATAAGACCTTGTTTGTATCCATAGGCAAGAGAAGCCTGGGATTGTTGTTCACTCTGACCATGGATATTCTCCAACCTGAACCAAAACAGCCATCCCCTGACCCCCGGGGACTGACCCTGCTCACCATGTTTCTCACAGAGAGCATGAGGCCTGTTGGCTCAGACTGGCTTAAAAACATAGCTTTTCAGTATGACAACCCTAGATGTCATTACCACTCAGGCAGCAGAACAGGAAGGCGAGAAGCGAAATGACTTCAAGTGGCTCCGAATAAGAGAGCTGTTGCATTGGATTTAGACATGTGGTTGAAACTAGAACAATGATTCTAAAACCCTTGTGGCCAGAACACTCAAAACAGTATCCACGATGCTCCTTCAAGAAGGCTGAAACGCCAAATGGCGGAGCACAGGGAGAGAAGGACCAGCAGTGTTTTCTGGCTTTCACCTTCATGGATACCGAAGACAGACACAAGAGCAGCCTGGCTTAAGATGGGAAGTGTGGGCTTCAGTGGAACTGCTGAGGGAACCGTCTGCAAGGGAGGGGCAGTAGGATTCCGAACCATGCCTTCAAGGGGGATGGTGAAATAGTCTTTAGAAGGTCAAGGAAAGAAAAGGAGAGAGAGCTCGTTCTCTGCTACAGTTTCAGTACATTTCTTTCCTGTTGTGAGGGAGTAGGCTGATGACAGATCTAAACACCAGGCTGAGGCTTTGAGGATTTAGAGCTTCCTTTATGGGGATGCTGCCAGATTTGAAATGTCACCACGTTGGCTGAAAGGAAAAAAGGCAGAGCTCATTCTTCAGGAAGAAGCATGAGGAAATAGAATCAGTAAGTTCTGGTTAAAGAACTTACTCTGGAATGAAAAGCGAGTACTCAAATGTGGATATTGGTTGGGCACAGTGGCTCATGCCTGTAATTCCAGCACTTTGGGAGGCCGAGGCAGGTGGATTATCTGAGGTCAGGAGTTCAAGACCTGCCTGGCCAACATGGTGAAACTCCGTCCTTATTAAAAATTAGGCGGGCGTGATGGTGAATGCCTGTAATCTCAGCTACTCAGCAGACTGCGGCAGGAGAATCGCTTGAACCTGGGAGATGGAGGTTGCAATGAGTTGAGATTGTGCCATTGCATTCCAGCCTGGGTGACAATAGTGAGATTCCCTCTCAAAAAAAAAAAAGTGGATATTGGTGTTAATATTATCATAAGTAAGCGTCAATCCCCTACCTAAAGGTCATGATCCTTCTCCCGTCTTTGTTTTTTGTTCATCTCCTTAGGCAAATAAGCTTCCCTAGAGTAGGTACTATAACATCTAAGACTTGTAAGTCAATATATTACAGACCAGTGAGGAGGCTTATTAAAATGCAGATTACCGTGCACCTCCCCCAGCGTTTAGACTCCACAGCAGGTCTAGGGATGGGACCTAAGAATTTGTATTTCTAACATGTTCCCAGGTGATGCAGACACTTCCAGTCCACGGACTATACTTTGAGAACCATCACTGGAATTGAAAACCACCATACCAGAAACCTTGCATCCTACTAAGTTGCTGAATGGCCTTGGAAAACCTCAAGACCTCTTTTGGGATTTGATTTCCCAAGTTTTACAGTAAGAATAAAACTAAAACCCTCTGAAGTCGATAGAACAGATAGTAAATTTTAACATAGATAATAAAGAGGTGGAAGTGCTTTGAAATATATAAAATCTCAATAAATGTGTGTCTCCAAAATGCTTGCATAGAGTATATATGCATCTTGTTTGTTTGTTTGTTTGTTGTTTTGGAGACAGGGTCTTGCTTTGTCACCCAGGTTGGAGTGCAGTGGCACACAGTCATGGCTCACTGCTGTCTCGACCTCCTGGGTGCAAGAGATCCTCCTACCTCAGCCTGCTGAGTAGCTGGGACCACAGGCATGCATCACCACACTGGCTAATTTTTAAAACTTTTTTCTACAGATGGGGGTCTCGCTTCATTGTCCAGTCTAGTCTCAAATTTCTGGGCTCAAGTCATTCTCCCACTTTGGTCTCCCAAAGTGCTGGGATTATAGGTGTGAGCCCATTATGCCGGACACACTTTTATATAGAGTGAGCTGCTACTATAACTCCAAAGTGGCCAGGTGAATTGACAACCAGTTTGATACCAGTATTTGTTGAATGAATAAAGTGAGATGGAGATTTAGCAGCTGAATGGTCCTTTAAGTGAACAGACCTCCAAGACAGTTCAGGCCCAAAAAACTCCAGTGTCTTGAGTTCCACTGAATCATGACAGCCTGCTGCATGCACCCAGAGGGGAACATGCAAATAGGGACATGCCAATCAGGTAGCCTGTGGAGCTAGGGTCTCACTTACCCTGTTGTCTTCAGGAGTAGGAGGAAGAGGCTTCTTTGAAGCTAGAACAAGAAAAACAGGAAAACAAAAAATGAGCATGAAAACCAATGGACCCAGCCGGAAATGAGCAGCCAGGGGGCTTTTCTGAGAAAAGGGGCCCAGGGAAAACAACAGAAGAAAGGGGCCAGAAGGAGACGAAGAGACACAGTGAAACCCGACTTGGCCTTGTCAGAAGCTGTCTTTTACCTCCTTGAGCCTGCTGGTTCCTGATTCCCTTTTCTAATAGACACCAGAAGCTTCTAGAAGTCCATATTCGGGGGCCCTCTCTCTCTCTGTATTCTCAGAAAAAGCCTGACAGAGGGGTTAGACTTGCTCCCTTCCCTGTAGGCACAGAGACTTCCGGGAATGTCTCTGCCACCTGCTAAGCTCAGGAGTGGGAATTGGTGACTCAGGGGGACAGTGACTCACTAGCTTCCTGATGCAGTTGTGGGCTTGGGGAGGGGGTGGTTGAGGTGGGAGTCATTGTGCTGCTTTTTGAGTGGGCTGGAATCCACTTTTAGTTGCCTTAAGGCACCTGAATATGTGTTCTTTCTGCCTCTTTCAAACTACACCAACCTCAGTATCTCTCCATCTCTTTTCTTCTCTTCATCTCTGTTTCCATGTCTCCGTCTCTTTAGCTCTCCTCTCTCTTCTCACTTGCCTCCTTTCTCTTCTCCCCTCCCCTTCCCTGTCTCTTTCCTCTCATCTCTTCATATTCATCTCTCGCTGTTTCTCCTCTGTAGCCCTGCAAAGGCCATGCCTAGACTCAATGAATCAAAGGTGTGTGCCTGTGTCTGGGGCTCTCTGTGGTATGGGAGACACTACACGGGCTTCAGACCAATACTTCCTTAATGATGAGAGGTAAGAGGGGAATGGGCTGCATAGGTAGGCAGGGAGCTCCTCCTTTCTGTATGAGGTTGACTTGAAGTTGGACAGCCCATATCAGGGATGCAGCAAAGGAGAGTCACACAGAGACACTGGAGCCCAGCCCTGTGCAGACTTGGCAAGAAACAGTAGGCTGGGGTGGTGACCTGGGTACACAATAACCAGAGAAGAAGGAAAACCCCCATAATAGGAAGTATGGTTTCTATTTAGAACTCAACTTGGAGCCGGGAGACTGATGTTCTAACCCTGGCTCCAATACTCGCTGTGGGCCTTGGGCCACTTCCAGCCCTGGACATTCTATAACTGGTCTGTCTTTCTTCTTCCTCTGGCCTTGCCTTTGTGTGAAGTTGGTATGTAGGGAGATCAGGGCCAGTTCTGGTTGCAGAAATGGGTGTTGCTATGGGTTGAGTATGGTGAGTCTGTTTTTACTTAACTGCTGTTGCTGTTTCCCAGACACACACATGTTCTGAGGCTCTATCTCGGCCTCAGATTCTTCCATCCACAAATAAGAAAGACCGGTAGACACAATTACCATTTATCAAGAACTCTGTAGATGTTGGCAGCTGTACTGCTTCCCACAACCCCATTGAATCGCCCAGCCTCACACGTAACTACCTATTATCATTATCCTCATTTTACGGGTGAGGCTCAGAGGGGCTATCCAAAGCCCTGTGCTCATAGACCGACACTGTCGATGTGCTTGGTACCAGGAATCCTGTGAGCCTTCATCTGGGGAGTCGACCATGAGCTGTGTTCACAGTGCAGTGTGCTTCTTGAAAATTTTGCTCTCAGGCCGGGCATGGTGGCTCACGCCTATAATCCCAGCACTTTGGGAGGCCGAGGCGGGTGGATCACGAGGTCAAGAGATCGAGACCACCCTGGCCAACATGGTGAAACCCCGTCTCTACTAAAAATACAAAAATTAGCAGGGCATGGTGGCGCACGCCTGCAGTCCCAGTTACTCGGGAGGCTGAGACAGGAGAATTGCTTGAACCCAGGAGACGAAGGTTGCGGTGAGCCGAGATTGTGCCATTGCACTCCAGCCTGGGTAACAAGAGCGAAACTCTGTCTCAAAAAAAAAAAAAAAGAAAATTTTGCTCTCAATTATGTAAAACTTGGATGTATGAAGCTATTCAACCAAGTCAGAAGAGGGTAGAGTGAGGAGATGCTCAGAGGGGAAAGATGGCGGGGGGTTGCAATGCAAAAGCAAAACCATTAGCAGAGTGACTGCATGACACCCACAGTGGGACCCCAAGAGCTCTCAGGCCCTGGTTTCCCTGGGGAGCAGCTCGGCATGAGCAGCCTTCCCGCAGTGGAGTTCTTGTGAGTCATTCAGATGTTCCTAGCACCTCAGTCATGTGTCTATTACTTGAAGAAAGGAAATACCGTGCGCCCTGAAGAGGAGCCGCTGCCACATGCCTGGTGAAAACTACCGAATGGAAATACCGGGTCAAAGAATTTCAGAATTGGAAAAGGGCTTAGATATTATTTCATCCTAAGCCCCTCAGGACTCCCTGCCATTTTTGAGATGAGGACACTGGGGCCCTTGATGACCAAGTGACTCATCTGAGGGCCCATGGCAAGGCATTGGCAGAAATTTGGAGACCAGATCTCTGCCTTTGGAAAGGGCTTTCACTCACTGAGGTAAGCCCATGCCGTCCTGTTACTGTGGTAGATCCCATCCATATAAAACTTTCCATTTTTTTTAAGTTAAAAATTGGACTGCATGAGTATGGTCAACAGGACTAATGTGGAGGATCCCTTGAATATTTACCAACTTCGAAAACTTGTTAAATATTATTCTTCTAGGCTCAGGGACCAATAATGTTGAAGGGCTTTCTTCCCGAGGTGCAGGGTGAAAAGTGGTGGTTTTAAAAGAGGGGCTATGAGTCAGGAAGCCTCAGAAAACCCAGCCATGTGTTACATCCGCCTCGCGTTGTCAATTTTCAGTACTAAGTTTAAGTGCACAAAAGGAAGCAATAAATGAGAAAGGGAAACTATGGCAAAAGAGGTTGAGAAAAAGGAAAATGGAAGCAAAACAATCCACATGGGTCATCATTCCTACTCAGTAATGGATTTGCAGAGCACTTCCAGGTTACCGGAGCACCCTGAATTGCTCAAGGCAGTCCATTTCCTTAACATCACACCATCTGCCCCGGACGGTTGAGAGGAACAAGAGCATAATGAATGTGAAGTACATTCGAGTACAGTTGTACTCAATTAGAGGTTAAGGTTCCAAAGTCATCACTAAAATCAAGTTGCAGCCCAATCCCCTGGACCTCAGCCTTTAACGTCAAAGGCAAAGAAACAGCTTCTCTTGTTTTCACTTTGAATTTAGACTGTGGACTTTTCCTCTCTGATATTGCGGAGGTCAAGGGCAAGTTTGAAGAGGAGGCAAGGAGAAACCACAGAATAAAATGTAAAATAAAAAAGAATTCCTCTCACGCTTAATGGTATAGAGTTGCACTTGTGTAATTAAATGTATGTGTGATTTGATGTCACTGTGAGAAATGAATATTTTGTATCTCTTAAGGATACCTCTATAATTTAGGATTTCAATAGACCATGCTATTCAAATGCCGGTTACAGCCAGGGCTCCTTAAACTGTACTGTGCACATAAGTCTCCTGGGATCTTGTTAAAACGAACATTCTGATCCAGTCGCTCATGAGTGAGCCAGATAATCTGCATTTCTTACGCCTAGGAGATGTTGATGCTGCTGGTCCAAAAAGCAGATTTCGAGTGATCAGGAGCTATAAAGACATCAGCTTTGAGATGGAAGCACCCACAGAATGGTAGGAAAGACAGATGATTCCTCTCTGAAAATGTAGAATTTTGCATTCCATTTCTGACACCGTTGATGATGGAAAGCTGAAAGCTTTTACCTTTTTATGATCATTTCACAGAGTGGAGGGAATTCCCAGTCTCTTACCATTCTTGGTGGGATCATAGTGGGCACAGCCTGCTGCAAGCTTCTCCAGCTGAGAACAGCACCTCCACTTCCCATCCATCCAGAAATTAGGATGATACTTGGGCACCAAACTGTTATTATTCCTCGTTTCTGAAATAGGTTGTCACCAACAGAAGAATTATATCCAGGTCAGTCTATGAAGGGCCACCAATTTTATAACGTCTCAGGATGAGACTTGGCTGAGTGAGTCTGACTGAGTATTGCCCAGAACACTCAGTAGCATGGATTGACCTGAGCACATAAGTGCACTGTGCTATTTACTGGGGTAGTTCGCATTACATTTAGGCATCGGTAAATCTAGGCTCACGTCTGGCTCTGCCTTGCATTAGTTGTGTGTTCTTAGGGTGGACAAACCTCATCTGAGCCTCAGTTTCCCCCACTATGCAATGAGGCTGTTAAACCTGGGGTTCTGCTAAGGTGCTTTAAGGGTAATGAGAAGGTGGAGAGGGTGGAATTACTACCCCTCCACCTCTCCTACCTTCAACCACAGGAACTTGGTTTTCTTCCTTCTAGATTTGTGGCTTTGAAGTAAGATTTTAGTTTGAAAAAAAATGGGGGCTTTGCTTCTGAAACAAATACATATATAAGCCACAGAACAGGGTTGAGTGTAGTGGCTCATGCTTGTAATCCCAGCACTTTGGGAGGCTGAGGCAAGAGGATCACTTGAGTCCAGGAGTTTGAGATTAACCTAGGCAACATAGTGGGATCCCTTCTCTACCAAAAAAACAAAGTTAGCTGGGCATGGTGTCATGCACCTGCAGTCCCAGCTACTCAGGAGGCTGAGGTGGGAGGATCACTTGAGTCCAAGAGGTTGAGGCTGCAGTAAGCCGTGCTTGTGCCACTGCACTCCAGCCTTGGTAACAGATCCTGTCTGATATAGTTTGGCTCTGTGTCCCCACCCAAATCTCATCTTGAATTGTAATCCCCGTAATTCTTATGTGTTGAGGGAGAGACCAGGTAGCAGTAATTGGATCATAGGGGTGGTTTTTCCCAGGCTATTCTTGTAACAGTAAGTGAGTTCTCATGAGACTGGATGGTTTTATAAGTGTTTGGCAAGTTCCTCCTTCAGTCATTCTCTCTCCTGCCACCTTGTGAATAAGGTGCCTGCCTCTCCTTCGCCTTCCACCATGATTGTAAGTTTCCTGAGGCCTCCCAGCCATATGGAACTGTGAGTCAATTAAACCTCTTTTCATTATACATTACCCACTCTAAGGTATATCTTTATAGCAGTGTGAAAACTAACTAATACATTGTCTCAATGAATAAATAAATAAATAAACAAACCACAGAACTAGATAGCTAATCTCTAAAGTTCCTTCCAGCTTTAACATCCTGTGTATAAAATCCCTTCACAGAGGGCAAATGGCCAATGACCATAGTTGGGGCCCTTTTTATGACTTTTTTTTCTTCCTTATTTTGGTGGAGGAAGGACAGGGTCAGGTTTGGCTAACTGCAGCCTTGACCTCCCAGGCTCAAGTGATTCTCCCACCTCGGCCTCCTGGGCAGCTAGGGGTGCAGGCCTATGCCCCCACACCAGGCTGATGTTTTTATTTTTAGTAGAGATGAGATCTCACTATGTTGCGCAGGCTGAAGTGCAGCTGCCCATGAGTTCAAGGCTATAGGAGTTCACTATAGCCTTGAACTCCTGAGCTCAAGTGATCCTCCCACCTTGGCCTCTCAAAGTGCTCTGATGACAGTTGTCAGCCACAGCGCCTGGCCCGTTTCGATTACTTTTTACTTCAGCGTTTGCTCTATGTCCCATGACTGTTAGAACTGAGAGCACCTTCCTGTTTACCCAGCACTTGTCTGCTCATAACCTATTTGAGGCTCACAACAACCTTGGAATAAGATACAACTTGTATTTCCACTCTCTTTTTTTTTAGATAGAGGAATTGCAGCTCCAGAGATAACAAACAGCTTGCTTCTCCTTAGAGGCGGGTTAGTAGTTGAACCCAGATCTCTTGACACATCCAGTGCTTCAGGCTAAAGAACAGTAGTGGTAACATTGATTGAGTGCCTTCTTTCAATCAATGTTATCATTGGATGGGTATTGTTCTAAGTCCTCACTATTCAGGTCTCACAACAGCTCCATGACTGTTTTTAGTCACAATTTATAGAGACACATGAAGGTCAAGAAACTTACCCAAGGTCACACGCTAATCATCGGCAGAGCTGGGATTTTCACCTTGGGCCCGGCTCCACATCCACGTGCTTAAACACTGCTGCCTCCAACTGTGCCATTAGGAAGGCATGGCTTAAAAATAGCCTTACCAATGGTGTAAAAGCTTGAAAACTAGCTGACAGTAACTGCATGCTGTCTGTGGGCCAGCCTAGTTCCCAGGACTTTGCTCACATGAGCTCCAAATGCAGGTGCTGTTATACCTTCCTTTTCTCCCTTTTAAATAAATTGGACACTGAAGCATGGAGCAATTAAGGAACTTGCCCACGTGTACACAGCAAGTGACAGACTGTCATCTCACACGGGGTCCCATGCTCTGCTTCTTCGTACTGTACTAGGAGTTGGCAAACTTGTTCTTAAAAGGCCAGACGGTAAATATTTGAGGTTTTACTGGCCATGAGACAAAATCAAGGGCCTTATATAGGTACTTATTTAACAATTTGAAATAAGTTATATACAAATATTGCTCAGAGCCTGACAAGAACAGACAGCAGGCTGGATTTGGTCAATCCCTGAATGATACTAGTTATTGCCTCCTGGACCCAGGATGAAAACTTGGGAACTTCCAACACCGAAAGGGAAATCAGCCATCAGCTGTGCTCACACCACACTCTATTCTATTGTGGAAGCCAAGCCTACTATAGGATCAAGGGTGTCAGTGATTCGATGGCAAATGAGTTTAATTACCTTCTTTAAGGGCCAGCACCCAGCGCTGCCGGCTCTCACGATCTGGAGCAAACACGTATAGAAGGTAGTTGTCATGCACGACCTGGAGACACACACACAGAGTCCAAGGTGAGCAGAGTGTGCAGAGATAGTTGACTGACAGCAGACCTACTGGGCAGAGAGTGGGGTCTCAGGTGTTTATCGTCTTATGGGCAAACATTTGGGTGATTAGGAGGCCAGTAACCTTTTTATCTAGGTGTTCGGCTGCTATGAAAATACAAGGTTAAGAAGCTTCAGCTGCTCATCTAGGATCCCATGCCCCCAAGAAGCAATCGCTAAACTAAAACAGCAGGAGAACGTTCTCCTCTTGTCTAGAAAGCACATTTATTTCTCACCTTAAATTTTTAGTGATTGAAAAATATTTCTGGCATATGAAAGAGAAAGATATTACATGAAAAATGTGCAATGAGAATTTTGAAAACTTCCTATTTCAAAATAGGTTAAGACTCACAAGAAGTTCCAAAAATAGTACAGAGTTCCTCTCTACTTTTCACCCACCTTTCCCCACTGATGACATCTTACATAACCATCGCACATAACCATCTTTCAAAACCAAGAGATTGTCACTGGTACAATACTGTTAACTAAACAGCAATCTTCCTTATATTTCACCACTTTTTAAGGCACTCATTATCACTGGGATTTTGAGCAACTGAAAAATATATGCCATTCCTTTTACTTTCAGTCCTCAAACTTACATCTCATGAGGGTCACTTTTCTAGTAGAAAAAAGTTCTTTTCTATGCCACATTAAAAATGTATCCATCCCTCAGATTGGCCAACAAGAATGGTACCCTGGGATGTACAAGGAGATATCCATGCCTTTGAAGCCAGAAATGCCAAGATCCACCTGTAAGATAAGGACTTTAGAGATACCCTCCACCAGCTCTGTTCAGTAGAACTTTCTGCAGTGATAGGAACATTCTATGACCAGTGCTGTTTCAATACAGTAGTTGCCAGCCCTGCCTGGCTATTGAACATTTGAAATGTGCCCAGTGTGACTAAGAAGGTGAGTTTTTAATGTCATTTAATTTTAATTAATGTACATTTAAATGTGAACATCCATGTGTGGCTAGTGGCTGCTAGACAGTGCAATTCCAGATAGCCCTCAGATTATAAAATCTGAATCTTGCCAGGCATGGTGGCTCACGCATGTAATCCCAGCACTTTGGGAGGCCGAGGCGGGTGGATCACAAGGTCAATAGATCAAGACCATCCTGCTCAACATGGTGAAAACCCGTCTCTACTAAAAATACAAAAAAATTAGCTGGGCGTGGTAGCGCATGCCTATAGTCCCAGCTACTCAGGAGGCTGAGGCAAGAGAATTGCCTGAACCCAGGAGGTAGAGGTTGTGGTGAGCCTAGATCGTGTAGTTGCACCCCAGCCTGGGTAATAAGAGCAAAAACTCTGTCTCAAAAAAAAAAAAAAAATCTGAATCTTTTTGCCTCAGAATCTCCAAGCAATTCATACTCAGCAATTGTAATATGTTGCCTCAAATCATGAGTAAAATGCACTTTAAGCACTAACATGCTTTGGATTTGGGGCCCCTGATAGCAGCTTTATTTCTTCCCTCACTAATTAGGACTTTCCTTGAGGAAGAGAAGACATGAGGGAAAGGGATATTAGGAATAACCATCTTTTCAAGATTTTGTGCTTAATTTTTGTTCCGTAAGTGAAAGAATTAATGAGTAAATGTCACTGATTAAAGAAACACGTAAGTTTCCTAATGAGATTGGTCCAAGTTCTAACCTTCAACCAGGCATTTATCCCTGTTCACCCTCTCTTACAGTGACTGAGGATTTTAACCATGGTCCAGGGAATGGGGAACTACCCACCTGATGGACTTACCTGAAATGGGTATTTATAGTGGCATGGGATGCTGATGTCACTTTTCACAATCTCGACACATTTGATTCGGGAGAGCTCAATGGAGCCCTTCAGCGTGCGCTTCTTCTGTGGGAAGACAAGCACATCCCATTCATGTAAGAGAGAAGACAATATTTTTGTCCAGATTGCTCTAGAAATCTATTGCTAGATAAGATCCATTGGCTTTGTAAACCAATTCCACCCCTCCAAATCAAATATCCAAAAGCTGCCTCCTGGCCCTAAGTGTGAGAAAAAACACTCTGAGCAGTCTCCTCGGAAAACATGCCTTCTGAGTCTTCTTCTTGGTGATAGGTTTCCATTCATTGAGCCACAGGGTCATGTACCCCACTGCCCTTGTGACAAATAACAACATCAGCAGAACTCATAGCTGGGATGGGTAGAAAAATCCATGGACACACATGTAACAATTTTCTCTGTGTCTATTCATGACCATATTAGCACAGTAACTGAGCTCGGGCCTGACCTGGATAGTGGTGTATACTCTCAGTGGCACCTTTTTTGCCTGCATCTGGCTTCTCCATGTCCTTTAAATTATCCACAGTACCACAGTGACACCCCCAAAGGACATTTCTGACTCTGCTCTACAACTATCCCTTTACCTCCTCCCCAACCTCCCCATCAACTATTACTGGTACTTTGTCTCATTTCCTTGGAAACTTGCTGGATGTATTTCCCTGATAACCAATTCACATGATGGTATTGTGATTGATAATAATGTTACATGTTACCTATTTCTAAGGATCCTCGTGCTTGGAGAATGGATCTCAGGGGATTTGATGCCTTACCCAATGGGACAAATTCCACTGGTGGTCTATCAGACTCCAAGGAAAGATAGAAAAGTGCTTTTGGATGGAAGAAACCTTTTTTGAGCTGCCATTGAGAAGAGACTTTAATTCAGCTATGGAACTATTGCAAAATATGTTATTATACCCACTACCAATCAATCCCAAAAGACATAATTCTGAATGTCACAGTCTCAAATGCTGAGATCCTAAAAGACAAAAATCCTTAAAGTCTAAGTCCCTGATGTCTAAAATCTCAAAAATCACAATTAGTGCATTTTCTATTGTTCACAGAATAGCCTCATTATGTTAGTTGCATCATGTTAGGCAGAACTATTAATTATTATCTTCATTTGGAAATTACATGTGGTTAAGATGTATATGGGTGCCAAATAGACAAGGGGTGTACTTGTGGACTTAATTTTAGGGTCAAATTGACTAGATTAAAAAGTATCTAAGGCCAGGTGTGCTGGCTTATGCCTGTAATCCTAGCACGTTGGGAGGCCAAGGTGGGTAGATAACCTGAGGTCAGGAGTTTGAGACCAGCTTGGCCAATAAGGTGAAACCCTGCCTCTACTAAAAATACAAAATTTAGGAGAGAGATCCAAGATAGCTGATTACTAGCAGCTCAGGATTGTAGCTCCCAGTGAAAGCGCAGAGAACGAGAGGACGCCACACTTTCAGACGAATTTTTGTTGCTCACAGATCAGGAGATTCCCAGCGGGGAGCCCCACGGGTCGCCAGCCCAACTCTTGTGGCCAGCACAGCAGTTTTGCTGGTGCCCTGGCGTGGCGGTTCTTGGTGCAGAGTAAACGGTACTGGGTCCCCTTTTGGTCGACATTTGGAGCTCCGGGAAGGCAGAGTCGCCTATTCAGCTGATTGAAAAAGGAACTCAAGAAGGAAGCCAGACCGGAGATTCCCGGGCAGAAAAGCACCACGAATCTTAACGCCACTGTTTTGGCCAGCGCAGTGGGTTCCTCAGATTCTGGCGCTGGGAATCAACAAGTTGGACGACCACTCAGAGACCTAATTTGAAAGTCGGTAATTACAAAGATGACAGGTGGATAAATTAACAATGATGGCAAGAAACCAGCGTAAAAAGGCTGAGAATACCCAAAATCAGAATGCCTCTCCCTCTACAGGGGATCACAGTTCCTCATCAACAAGGGAACAAGGCCTGATGGAGAACGAGTGCGTTCCATTAACAGATTTAGGCTTCAAAATGTGGATAATAAGAAACTTCTGTGAGTTAAAAGAACAGGTTCTAGCCCAATGTAAAGAAACTAAGAACGTTGAAAAAAGGTCTGAAGAAATCCTAACGAGAATAGACAATCTAGAGAGCAACATAAGTGAATTAATGGAACTGAAGAATACAATATGAGAACTCCACGAAGTATGCACAGGTTTTAACAGTCGAATTGATCAAGCAGAAGAAAGGATATCAGAGGTTGAAGACCAACTTAATGAAATAAAATGAGAAGACAAGATAGAGAAGGAAGAGTAAAAGTCTCCAAGAAATACGGGACTATGTGAAAAGACCTAATTTACGTTTGATAGGTGTACCTGAATGTCATGAAGAGAATGAATCCAAGCTGGAAAATATTCTTCAGGAAAACTTTCCTAACCTGGTAAGGCAGGAAAATACTCAACTTCAGGTAATACAGAGAACACCACAAAGATATTCCTCAGGTAGAGCAACCCCAAGACACATAATTGTTAGATTCACCAGGGTTGAAATAAAGGAGAAAATTCTAAGGGCAGCTGGAGAGAACGGTCAGGTTACCCATAAAGGGAAGCCTATCAGACTCACAGCAGATCTCTCAGCTGAAACCCTACAAACTAGAAGAGAGTGGGGGTCAATATTCAATATCCTCAAAGAAAAGAATTTTCAAGCCAGAATCTCATATCCAGCCAAATTAAGCTTCATAAATGAAGGAAAAATAAAATTTTTCACAAACAAGCAAGCACTCAGAGATTTCATCACCACCAGGTCTGCTTTACAAGGGCTTCTGAAAGCAGCACTATACACAGAAAGGAACAACCAGCATCAGTCATCCCAAAAACTTACCAAAAGGTAAAGACTATGTCCATAATGAAAAATCTATATCAACTAATGGGCAAAACAGCCAGCTAGCATTAAACAACAATATTAAACTTACAAATATCAGTATCAATCCTAAATTTAAATGGATTAAATGCCCCAATCAAAGACACAGACAGGCAAATTGAATAAAAAGTCAAAACCCATCGGTTCACTGTATCCAGATCCGTCTCATAAGCAAGGACACCCAAAGACTCAAAACAAAGGGTTGGTGGAAGACTTACCAATCAAATGGAGAGCAAAAAAAAAAAAAAGAAAAAGAAAAAAAGAAAACAGGAGTTGTAACTTTCGTCTCTGACAAAATAGACTTTAATAGTAAAAAGACTAAAAGAAACAAAGAAGGACATTACATAACGGTAAAAGGATCAATGCAACAACAGGAGTCAATGATCATAAATATATCTGCACCTGACATAGGAACACCCAGATACATAAGACAAGTTTTTAATGACCTATAATGAGACTTGGACTCCCGCACAATAATAGCAGGAGACTTTGACACCACATTGTTAATATTCGATGGATTAATGAGATTGAAAATTAACAGGGACATCCATGATTTGAACTCAGACCTGGAACAAGTAAACTCAGTGAATATTCATAGAATTCTTCACTCCAGGTCCACAGAACATACATTTTTCTCAGTATCATATTACACCTATTTTGAAAGTGACCACATAATTGGAAGTAAATCACTCTTCAGCATTTGCATAGCATTTCACTGACTTAAATGAAATACTGGTTGGCTGTTTGTTATTTTCTTCCTGTCTTTCTTCCTTATTCCTTCCTGTCTCCCTTCCTTATTCCTTCCTGTCTCCATTGTTAAGCACAATTATCGGCATAAAAGAGGTTTTTAATATCTATTTTTAGATTGCATTCCAGTCTGGGCAATAGGGCAAGACTCCTGTTCTCTCTCTCCCTTTCTCTTTCTCTTTCTTTCTTTCAAAAAATAAAAATACAAAATTTAGCCAGGTATAGCAGTGGGAGCCTATAATCCCAGCTCCTCTGGAGGCCGAGACAAGACAATTGCTTGAACCTGGGAAGTAGAGGTTGCAGTAAGCCAAGATTGCGCCACTTCAGCCTGGGCAAAAGAGTGAAACTCTGTCTCAAAAAAAAAAAAAAGAAGAAGAAGAAGAAGAAGTATCTACACACCTGATAAAGCATTATTTTGGGTGTGTCTATGAGGGTGTTTCCAGAGTAGATTAGTATGTGTGTCTGAATGGAGGAGGTGGGGTGGGGCAGATCTGCCCTCAGTGTTGGTAGACACCATTCAATCAGCCAGGGACCCAAAGAGAACAAATACTGAAGGCAAATTAGTCTCTCTCAGAGAGCTGGAACAGATTTTTCTTCTGCTGTTTTTGATCAATCTCATTCAAAGACTTCTGTCTATCATAGTATTTCAGATGATCGTGGTTATATAAGCTATTTCATTTTTTTAATTTAAAGGTGAAATAAATTGCATATTCATATTGAGTTTTTCTTTTGTTTTTAAAATCAGTTTTATTAAAGTACAATTTGCATATAATAAAATTTACCAATGTACCTTTCAGAGAATTTTAACAAATGTATATAGTTATGTAATAACCTCCATAATTAAGATACAGGAAAAGAGAAAGAAATAACCAAAATCAGAGCTGAACCAAAGGAGATTGAGACACAAAAATGCATTCAAAAGATCCATACATCCAGGAGCTGGTTTTTTGAAAAAATTAGTAAGATAGCTAGGCCACTAGCTCTACTCCTAAAGAAGAAGGAAGATCCAATTAAACACAACTAGAAATGACAAACAGCATGTTACCACTGACCCCACAGAAATACAGATAATCAGAGACTGCTATGAACACCTCTATGCATGCAAACTAGAAAATCTAGAAGAAATGAGTCCATTCCTGGACACATGCACTCTCCCAAGACTGAACCAGGAAGAAATTAATTCCCTGAACAGACCCATAACAAGCTCCAAAATTGAATCAGTAATAAACAGCTTACCACCCAAAAAAAGCCCAGGACCAGATGGATTTACAGCCGAATTCTACCAGATGTACAAAAGAAGAGCCAATATCATTCCTACTGAAACCATTCCAAAAAATTGAGGAGGAGAGTCTCCCCCACAACTTATTCTATGAGGCCAGCATCGTCCTGATACCAAAACCTGGCAGAGAAACAACAAAAAAGAAAACTTC